CGACCCCTTCACCTACACACTCAGGTAGAATACGACCCCTTCACCTACACACTCAGGTAGAATACGACCCCTTCACCTACACACTCAGGTAGAATACGACCCCTTCACCTACACACTCAGGTAGAATGCGACCCCTTCACCTACACACTCAGGTAGAATACGACCCCTTCACCTACACATCCACCTCACTGAAACTATTGAGGTCATTGTTTACCAAGCAAACTTCAAGCTGTTGAAGTTTCTCAAGCCAGGACACTAAGCATAACCATCTGTTCCTTTTGTTCTATAAACATTTCACAAGGCAAAGCAAGAGGATTAGGATCCAGGTGCTAGGTTAGAAGTGGGTATACAGGTTAAACATTCACACAGAGAATGAAATTAACAGAAAATCACTATTTGGAGAAGGTATTAAGTTTTATTTCTGTTGCTGTAATATGAAGTTATTGGTTTTTTACTCTTGAGCTTTGGACTCTTTTGGCCTTTTGGTCTTTGGGAGACCCGTCACCCAGCTCCCAAATAAATACACACAATGGAGGCTTATTATTACTTATAAATGCCCGGCCTTAGCTTGTTTTGTTTCTTGCCAGCTTTTCTTAAATTAACCTTTTGCCTCTGGGCTTTTCCTTTTCTTATTTCTGTATATCTTACTTTCACTCTTACTCCATGGCTGGCTGGGTGGCTGGCCCTGGTGCCTTCCTCTCCTTGTTCTATCTTGCCCCCACCCCTTCTTCCCAGATTTCTCCTACTCATTCTCTGCTTGTCAGCCCCATTTGTTCTTTCTCCTGCCTTGCTACTGGCTGTTCAGCTCTTTATTAGTCCATAAGGTGTTTTAAACAGGCAAAGAATCACAGCTTCACAGAGTCAAACAAATGCAGCATAAACAAAAATGACACACCTTACAATAATTTTCTACAATAACAACACACTATGAACAAGGTAACTTTTTTTTTTTTTTTTTTCCGAGACAGGGTTTCTCTGTAGCTTTAAAGCCTGTACTGGAATCTTGTAGCCCAGGCTGGCCTCGAACTCACAGAGATCTGCCTGCCTCTGCCTCCCGAGTGCTGGGATTAAAGGTGTGCGCCACCATCGCTCGGCCTCAATACAACACATCTACCTTGGTTACTCTCATTGAGCTACTGCTGTAAATAATACCTTGCTATGATACTGAGCAGTGGGAGAAACAAAGAGGAAACACAAAAACTATCTTTCACAAAACCCAAGACTGATATAGAACAGAAGAGAGTTGAAGACCATGCATAGATGTTTTAGACAATGTCTGCTCATGATTTTTATGACCAGGTTCAGATTAATCTTGGCAGATTCTATTAAGTAATAGGAATAAATATTCCAGTATTGGCAGCAATGGTTTTTAATATGGCATGGTAGAGACTACACATATGAAGTGGAAGAAGGAGAAGGAAAAAGCAAATTAGCTAAGATAACCAGACAATAAATATATTCTGGATGGTGACACAAGTTCTATGTGACCAAGTTCTCCCTTAAACACTTGCATAATACCTAAACTTGACTTGGTATGAGCAGTATTCAACATCTATAAATGAATATACTTTCATATCAATGTAAAGGACACAGAGGAGGCCAGGCAGTAGTGATGCAGGCCTTTAGTCCCAGCATTCCGGAGGCAGAGGCAGGCTGATCTCTGAGTTTGAGGACAGTCTGGTGGACAGAATGAGTTCCAGAACAGCTAGGGCTGCACAGAAAAACGCTGTTCGAAAAGCAAAAACACAAACAAATAATAACAACAAAAAGGCAAACAGTTAAATAAAGCTGTAAGTCATAAACAAATGCTGACTACATCCAAGAAGAGAGGTTTGTACCTGTAATCCCAGGTACTAATCAGGAGGCTGAGGCCAGAAGATCAAAAGGCCAGTTTTGTAATGTAGCAAGATTTTGACTCAAATAAAAATAAAAAGGATTGGAAGTGTAGCTCAGTGGTTAAAAACATTTCTCCAGTATGCATGAGGTCCCATGTTCAAGATTTAGCAAGACTTCTAAAACCTTATTAATAAAACTTATTTGTTAATAAAACACATTCCATTTATATTTACTGGACACTTAAAATTCATTCTTTTCCAAAGAAAAACCAGTCCACAATTCACAACCCCAGAGAACCTAGACAACAAAGAGTACCCTAAGAGAGACATACATGGATCTATATAGGAAGGAAAAAAAGACAAGCTCTCCTGAGTGAACTGGGAGTGTAGGGATCATGGGAGGGGATAAAAAGGGAGGGAAGAGGAAGGGAGGGGAGTAGATAAAAATATATAGCCCAATAAATAAATAAATAAATAAATAAATGAATAAATAAATAAATAAATTTAATTCTTTCCTCATCCACAACAGATAATCTTCCTTCATTATAATTCAATTACGAAAGTGGGGGTGAATGACTTCTGTCCAACAGTGCCAAAGATGAAGAAATCGTTGTACAGTGCAATAAGTCTATTCAACAACCCAGTGAAGTACTGGGAAATACAACCTGCAACATTTCGTTGTGTTCTCAGCAGAATGAGTGTTCAGCTTGGGAATGTTGGAAAATAATCATTAATGATGTCTATTGAATATAAGATTCAAACTGTATTCATTTGGAATACTTGAACTGTACTAATAATGGTAGTATGTTATAAATAAGCAAAACTCTATTCCATATGGTCAATGACAAAAAATTTCAGCAGAATTTTGCCCAACCATCAATATTCAGAATAAACCTCTATTGCAGTGTCACTTTGCACATGAGTGGTTCTGTATACATCTTCTGCTTGAACATTCTTTTCTCAGCAACAAAAAGATGGATATTCCGTATTTAACCCTTCATTATCAAGTGTGTTAAACAGAACTGTACTGTAAACAAAATGCTTGACTTAGTAACATTTGTGCCCTTTCTTTGCTATTAGAAAAACAAAGCTGGCAAGAATAGCACTATGAAGACTACATGTATTTTTAGTATCATTTTAATAACTTGGATAGTACTGTAATATTTCTAATAATGTTGAAATACAGTTTGACAAAATCATACTGAAATTCTCAACTCATAATAAAAGTTCAAGTATTCACTATCAACTCAACAGTAATATTCATAAGAGTTAGTTTTGGAGCCATAATACATGACTTTCTTTTTTAATTATTATCTGGTCATAAAACTGTAAAATGTAATGATTGCTTATATAAAATTTATAATGTGCATTTTTATAATCAGTTATATAAGTTTTTAAGAACACAGCAGCAACTGTTAGGTTACATAGCGTCGTCACATCAACTAAGAATATTTCGGGATATTCCTTTGGAAGAGTATGGATGCCAATCAACTTTGTACCAGCTTGTCTCTTCTAACTCGTCTCTTCAAATATGCAAACTGGATAACTCTGAGAAATGCATCTAGGCTTACAAAAACGGAAAGCTCTGAACAAAACTCATGTGTTTATTTTACTGATATTCAATATGAATTGAGTAAAATTTAAAAATAAGGAAAACATTATTAAAATCTAGTTTTAAACAAAATATATGTGCTTTGGTTCAATTTATCTCCCCCAATCAAAACATACATACTTGTTTTTCTTTAGAGAACTAATTTGTTTTAATATATTTTATGGGTGTTTACCTTACATGTGTGAAAGAACCACTTGCATGCCTGGGGCCAGAAAAGGCAATGGATTCCATGAACTGGAGGTATAGACAGTTATGAGATACTATGTGGGTGCTGAGAACCAAACTTAAGTCATTTGGAAGAGAAGCCATGCTCTTAAAAAGTGAGCCATCTCTACAGCCCCTCTCATTTATTTTAAACTACCTCAAAATCTAGACTTCCAATCATTTTTTTTTTTGGTGGGAGGAAAAGAAGGACATAATAAAGGGTGAAAGTTGAACACCTAGGTGAAGAGCAAGTAAACATTTCAGTCTTCAAGGCAAGTCCTCAACTTCAGCACACACCACCATTCTTTGGAGTGGGGACTGCTATGCACACTGCAGAATTCTAGCAACTCCCTTGTCTCTACCTCTACAAGTAATACTATCTGCCTCTTCCACCTACCACCACTGTGACAATCACCAGTTTCCCCAGGAATTACTGTGGAAATGCTGGAGATGACAGCAAAATTTCAGCTGGCTGAGAGCAGCTGCTTTATAGGATTTATACTTGATATCTAAGATGATACAACTTAGGAAACCTAGAATAAAACTGCTGCTTTGTAAAAATTGTAGAGGGCCGGGCGGTGGTGGCGCAAGCCTTTAATCCCAGCACTTGGGAGGCAGAGGCAGATGGATCTCTGTGAGTTCGAGACCAGCCTGGTCTACAAGAGCTAGTTCCAGGACAGGCTCCAAAACCACAGAGAAACCCTGTCTCGAACCCCCCCCCCCAAAAAAAAAATAATAAAAATTGTAGAGGAACATAATGAAATCTAAATAACGAAGCTCATCACAGAACTACATCAAGTTGCACAGAAAGAGGAGTGCAGGATTTTGAGTAGGAAATCCAGTCCTATTTATAGTCTGGAGCAGACCACCCACTCTAAGTCTGCTTCCTCATCTGCAGAAAATACAGACCAATGAAGTTGCTATGATTATGAAATAAAAGTACAAATAAAATGCTTTGAAAATCATAAATGTTCATAAAACATGAACATCTATTATTGAACTATGGGCTGATGGGAAAACTAAAACATATAAATTCCTCAACAATAAAATATTATAAGGGCTATTACTCTAAAATTAAAAGCTTAAAGATTTTGCTTTTAGTTTTACTCATGCGTATGTGTGCCATGTATGTGGAGGTACCTGTGGAGCCTAGAAGAGCATGTCAGATCCCCTGGAGCTGGAGTTATATGCAGTTGTTATCTGCCCAAAATAGGTACTAGAAATTGAACTATCGTCCTCTGGAAGAGCCCCAAGCACTCTTAATCACTGAGTTATCTTTCCAGCTCTTCAAAAATGAAAGACATTTAAAGTTCCAGCCGTTTCTATGAAATATTTTTCTGCAATATAATATAGTGATATCACAGCACTTAACAAGAACATATGTAAAAATCAAATATTTAACGATGTTGGAAAAAAAGCAGCTTTTCAAATTAGTAATTAAAATGTGATTAACAACAAGATCAAACATATGCCAGCAGGTAAATCTATAGAGAGAGATGTGGAGCTTAAAGAGTTAACAATGTTCTTCTAGGGCCTGTTGAGGTGGCTCAGAGGTTAAGAGCACTGGCTGTTCTTCCAGAGGTCCTGAGTTCAATCTCCAGCAACCACATGGTAGCTTACAACCATCTATAATGAGATATGGCCTGTAGGCATACGTGCATAAGAAACACTGTACACATAATAAAACTTAAAAAAAGGAATTATGAAAAAACAATATTTTTCTAAAAAGAAAAGACAGAAGAAAAAATTAACGCGGAAATGATTCCTGAATTCTTGCAATTAAGTTGGTGCAGTTAATATTTGTGATTTTCATTTCAAAACTGTTAGAAATTTTGGGTTAAGTTCATGAAAACAAATTATTAATAAATTCTTAAGCTGACAGAACTGCATTAAAGTTTTCTGCCACGAACACATTTTAACAGTAAGTTCAAATTTTGCCTGCTAGAAATTGATCAAAGATGAAAACAGGTGAGTTACTACATCTAACTTGGTATACAAAGGAATTCAAGTGAATAAGGAATCTCAATGATATTCTAGCTATATTTCATGCCAGTTACTACAAAGAGGTTCACTAACATAAAATATGATTCAAGAAAATCATTTATTGAGTAAAACAAAAACTTTTAAAAAAAGCTTCAGTTTGTTTATTCTTGAGCTAACACATCATTTTTATCATAATTCCTTCATTTTTTTCAGTGTGTGCACATATGCATGTTTGTTTACATGCTTGCAATTGCACAATATGTAAGAATGCAGATAGAAGCTGAGGTAGTCTTCCTAAAATGGCTCTCCATATTATTCACTGGGGCAGGTCTTGCTAGTCATTACCCAGCTGTTCCAGGGACCCATCTTCACCTTCTGAACAGCGGAATTACAGGGGGTTGCCAAGCACATGTGGCATTTACTTGGGTTCTCCAGTCCTCACACTAGCATGGCAAGGGCTTTACTGGCTGAGCCATATCTCCAGTCCCCACCCCCTTTGAAAGAACTCATGCCTTAATTTCTATTAACTTCCTATTCCTGTGGGCTCTTAAAATAATTCAGCTGACCTAAAAATTCTTGTGAATCAATTTTCATGTTGTATAGATAACACTAAACAGTAACAGCTGACATTTGAAGAGTAGTTTCTACTAAGTGCTTTATTTGTATTCATTAAATTAGCTATAGAAAAATTACATGAGTCAGGTGTGGAAACTGAGGAACAAACATTTAAATAACATGGAGAACATGGGATTTGAATCTAGTGTCTTAATCTATACTTTAACTAGGGCAGTATACTATTTTTTTCTTGGTGTTTTTATACCTCTAGGAATTATCTGCATACTTGATTAACACAAACCACGTCTTTCTGGTTCCCTTTTTGTGGCTGTTTCCCCAGTACACTTCGTTCGGTCCCTTCTCTGTGTCCCACAACAATTTCATCTGTGCCTATTAATTTAGTCATTATTAAAACACAAATTCACATATCAGATTCTGACTTTTCTCATAACTACCTTTGAAAATCAAAATATTATATACCACATAATTATAAATTAGTATCATAAACAATTTCCTTCAAATTTATACTATCTCTCTTGAGTCTCATCTCTCCTCCCAGGTGTCCATGGCTCTAAGATTCAACAGACACGAACTAGTGACTCTCTTGCAGCTCCACAGCCAACCTGGAACTAAGTTCTTCCTTGTCTTCTCACATCTGTGCCTTCCTTTTTATATCTATCATACCATAATTTGTGGTCTGAAATAGGCTGATTCATCTTGCTTATTCAACTCTTCAATAACCCAAACTGATCTATGTACAATCTGGAATGATCATGTGAGTCCTTTTCACCAAAGTTTATAATAGTTTTCACTGAGGACTGAATTATAAAACTTATGCATTTCCCCAATGTCACTAAATTTTTGAATTTTACATATGTTCTTACTTATTACTTATTATGTGCACAGTTGAATAGGAATGGCCCCATAGGCTCATATATTTGGAAGTTTAGTCATTAGGGAGTGGCACTACTGGATAGGAAATAGGAAGTGTGGTTTTGTTGGAGGAAGTATGTCACTCGGGGTAGGCTTTGGGGTTTCAAATGCTCAAGCCAGGCCCAGTGTCTAGCTTTCTTCCTGAGGCCTGCTGATCCAGTTCTAGAACTCTCAGCCACTTATCCAGCACCATGTTTGCCTATATGCTGCCATGTTTCCCACTGTGATGGTAATGGATTAAACCTCTGACTGGAAGCCAGCCCCAATTAAACGCTTTTATAAGAGGTGCTGTGATCCTGGGATATCTTCAAAGCAACAGAACACTGGTTAAGACAATTTATATTTCAAATATTTATTTGTGAGTCTTCAATTTTATGTTCCAGATCAAGATTATTTGCTTTTGTTTTGTTTTGTTTGAGACAGGGTTTCTCTGTAGCTTTGGAGCTTGTCCTGGAACTAGCTCTTGTAGACCAGGCTGGCCTCGAACTCAGAGATCCGCCTGCCTCTGTCTCCGGAGTGCTGGGGTTAAAGGCGTGCGCCACTTCCGCCCAGCTATTTGCTATTTTTTAAACACACTTTCTGGTTTCTGTGTTTTGGTTAACATTGTGCCTTTCATTAGTCAGAATCTCGGCCTACCTTCAAACGTCTACATGAAACATCCTTCTCAGCTCCTCTTCCCAATTCTCTCAATAAACAGAAGCGAATACTTGCCCCACCCCCAAAACTTCCCAGTATTTTGACTGTGCTTGTACCATAGCTACTTATTTTCCAAAAGAAACATCTTAGCTGCAAGGACTGTGTTTTGGTCATCTCTCCCCTATTGCAAAAGGATAGCATCCTGTTGTGGCTCTGTACATTTCTGGATAAAACTGCTGAGAAAACATCTCAAAGCAGAACATGATTCTAGCCTGTGTATCATCTCTGGCTCTAGCAGTTCTCCTCACTCTGCAACTCTGCCAACAAAACACACTTCCTATATGCTTGGATACACTGCTACATCAGTTAGGGCAATGGCATTTTCTCCTATGTACTTTTGACTCAGTGTTATTGAAGGCACTTATTAATGTTCTATCACTAATTCTGGATAATCCAGAAATAGCATTCCTTGTCCTATCATCTCTGACCAAGCTCTCCAAAGAAATCATCTCTGGAAGTAATAGATTTCTACTGGTGAAATATAAAATGGTCACTAAAAGCCCAGCTTTGAAATAAACTCGTACAGAGAGGAGGTTGTAGGAAGTCTGAAGAGGCAGAAACAAAAGGATAGTTAAGGTCAATGTGCAAAGGCCTAGGCCACTTGCTGCCTTTGTAGGCAGAAGCCACCCTGAAATAAAGATACTCTGCTTGAATGCCAGGAATCCTTTTTATTAAGAATTAATAACAGAAGTAAATGAAACAATATAATGAAGTTCCATGTACTCATAGTTTCAACAATTCATAACTAATAATTTTATTCTCTAATTCCTATTATTTTACTAAATTTGAGAGAAAATTTATGTACAATATAATCTAATCATTTAAAGGATATAATTTAATGGTCCTCACAATATATTTAAAGTTCTGTAACAACAACTATCAATCAATGTTGGAACATTTTTATCATCTCCAACATAACCATGTACCAACTTATATATATTACTTTCCTTATTCCCTGGTAAATCTACATTTTCTCTATGAGTTGCCTTAATCTGGACATTTATTATGAGCAGAATAATATGGTGACTGCTTCTTCTACTTAAGATTTTTTGGGTTTTATCTATGTTATAGTATGTAAGACTTTTGGGGGAAAATGTAATTATTTCTATACCATATGTACCTGAGAGCAGAACAGCTGACTTATAGGATATTTAGTACCAAAAGTTTTCTACAATTGCAACAATTTACATTCTTACCAATAATGTCCAAAGAATTCTTTCCTTCCACAACCTTGTCCATAATTGGTAGTTAGTTCTTTTAATTGTAGCCATTCTACCAGATAATTAGTACAATTTTCTTGTGGTTTTAATTTGCATTTCTCTAATTAAACATTTTTCATATGCAGACTGGTCAAGTGGATAGTTTATTTTTTTCAGATTCCTAGTCCTTTGGCATACTTTAAATAGTGCTGTTAATCTTGCCTTGAAAATGACTTATAAGAGCGATAAAAAACTGATATGGATCTGGTAAGCACTGTGAATGTGTTGCCCCATTCTGTGGCTTTTATTTATTTAATTTAAAAAATATTGTTTATTTATTAACTTATTTTTATTTTATGAATATGGGTTTTTTTTGGTCTGAATGCATGTATATGCAGCACATGTGTGCCTTATACATGAGGAGCCCTGAAGAAGGCAAAAGATCACCTGGAATTGTAGTTACAGACAGTTATTAGCTGCCATGTAGGTCTGGGAATTGAATCCAGGAGCTCTCCAGACCATTGGTTTTTTTTTTAAACATAAGAATAGTGTTTTTTAAAACATCACTAATATATGTTCATTACAAAAAATGAGTTTTCTAATGAAAATTTCACACACGTTCATCATGTAATGAACAGTATTTTATCAACCAAGTTCTTAACTATTGATTGAAAATAAAAACACAACATACCCAAACTTATGGGATGTAGTGAAGGCAGTTATAGGAGGCAAGTTCACATAGTAATAATTTAATAAAACATCTGCAAGTTCTAGAAAACAAAACAAAAAAAACTTGCCAAAAAAGTAAATGAGATGAAATTATCAAACTTAGGCTACAGTCAATGAAACAGAGACAACAAAAACAAAATACAAAGAATGAGAAATGAAGAACTGATTTAACAAGAAGGACAAATTCTTAGCCAAATTAGCCAAAAGATGAGTAGGGAAGATCTAAATTAATAAAATTAGAGATGAAAAAGAAAGCCTTACAGTAGATATAAAAGAAATTTAGAAAATTCTAAGTATATATATTAAATATCTCCATCAAAATTCCAACACGATTTTTCAAAGAAATTGAAAGAATATTTCTCAGTGTCATACGGAAACATAAAAAACAGAATAGCTAAAATAAATATCCTGAATAATAAAAAAACTGCTGGAGGTATCACCACTGGTCTTAGTCACTATTCTGTTGCAGTGACGAGACACTATGACCAAGGCAACTCTTACGAAAGAAACATTTAATTGGGGGCTTGCTTACAGTTTCAGAGATTTAATCCATTATCATTTTGGCGGAGAATATGGAGGCACATAGGCAAACATGGTGCTGGAGAAATAGCTAAGAGTTCTACAAATAATCCACAGGCAGCAGGAAGAAAGCCATTGGGCCTGATTTGAGCTTTTGAAACCTCAAAGCCCACACCCAGTAAAACACTTCTTCCACCAAGGCCATACCCATTACAAGGCCATATCTCCTAATCCTTCTCAAGTAGTGCAGCTCTTATTGTTAGGGCCATTCTTATTCAAAACAGCACACCATCCCTGATCTCAAATTGTACTACCAAGCTATAGTAACAAAAACATGGTATTGGCATAAAAACAGACATTTTCAATAGAACAAAACTGAAGACCCAGACATAAATCCATACACCTATGGACACCCGATATTTGATAAGACAGAAATACATACTGAAAAAAGACAACATCTTCAACAAATGATACTGTTCAAGTTGGATGGTTGCATGTAGAAGAATGCAAATATTCATATTAATCTCCCTGCACAAAACTCAACTCTAAATGGATAAAGAACCTCAAATATAAGACCAGATTCTTTGAATCTAACAAAGGAGAAAGTGGGACAAAGTCTTGAACTCAATAGCTCAGGAGAACACTTTCTGAACAGATACTGTTAACACACACACTAAGAATAACAATAAACAAGAGCTCATGAAACGGAAAAAAAATCTTCTGAATGGTAAAGGATATCATCATCCGGACAAAGGAGCAGATTAGATTACAGAATGGAAAAAGACCTTTACCAACTACATATCTAATAGAGGGTTAATATCTAAAATACATTTTTTAAAAAGCCTCAAAAAACTGGACATCAAGAAAACAAATGACCCGATTGAAAAATGGTTCCTATATATGTTTCCTATATAAGAAATACAATGACAGGGGGCTGGAGAGATGGCTCAGAGGTTAAGAGCATTGCCTGCTCTTCCAAAGGTCCTGAGTTCAATTCCCAGCAACCACATGGTGGCTCACAACCATCTGTAATGGGGTCTGGTGCCCTCTTCTGGCCTGCAGGCATACACACAGACAGAATATTGTATACATAATAAATGAACAAATATTTAAAAAAAAAAAAAGAAATACAATGACATCTTACCTTGCTTGTGAGTCAGAAATTTAGATAAAGGGTGAGTACAACTCAATGTCTGGACAAATCAGAGATCGGAATCTAGTGTTTATAGTGTTAAATGTGAATCTGACTACATAAAAATTCAACAGTAACAGAACTGACAGTTTGCCTTTCTCTACCTTACTTATTTTTATCCTTCCCCTTGGTTTATTCTCTGCTCACCACACTCAATAGACTTTTATTTTCTATTTTCTTCTTCTACGACAATAAGATTTTCACTGAGTGAAAATTCAGTTTTAAATTACTTTCCACAAAGTAGGTGCTCAATTTTTTTTTTAAAAAAGAGCTGAACAATGAACAAATAAATGAAACTTATTTTGTCTATTGTATTAATTAAGCTGAATCACGAGGGCTTTTCCTAGCCAGCACTAATATGTTGTTCAGCTTTGAGATGCTGTGTCTGCTTCAATAAAATAATAAGCCGAGCATATAATTTAGATTTTTTTAAACAATGAATCTGACTTCGCCCCACAATGGTTATAATTAAGCCACCTAACCAAATCAATGATCATAGACTATTACCTATCCTAACCATTACTTTTTTTGTTTGTAACAGCTCTGGCTGTTCTGGAACTTGCTTTGTAGACCAGGTTAGCCTTGAACTCACAGAAATCTGCCTGTCTCTGCCTCCCAAATGGTGGCATTAAAGGCATGTGCCACCAGGCCCAGCTTCTATACTTTTTGTTTTGTTTGGTATTAATATACTGTAGCTACTTACTGACAAATAGTCTTCCACATAATCCAGAAACAGGAACAACATAATCACTATTTTAAGACCAATCACACAGTTAATAAAGAGTTATGTTTAAAAATTAAATGGTTGGCTTTAAATTAATCAGTTAAAAGAACTATGAAGGGGGCTCAAACAACGTTTAGAAAAAAACACAAATTTGTTCGTTTCCTGAGTGCGAAAGCCCAAGGTTTAAGAAAAAAGACAATAATAGGAAACATACGGAAAAGATTGGTAACAAAATGGAATCTTGGTACAAGCGTGGTCTGCCACATTTCACATACCAATGTCTCAAATAATAGACTAGATGTTTACAATATTGCCAAAGCATCCTTGAAATACTGTATACTTTTCTCAAATCTGAAATATAAAAATAAATCCTGGAAGTTCCTTATAAAGTCTAATAGAAAACACTATTTTGAAGAACTAAAAGAACTTCTCAAGCATGAAAGAAACTCCTTCCAAAAAACTCAACATTTAACGCCAGGAGACACAGCTAACTCTGTTTAACTATGAAAACATTAGCACAAAAATTTCTCCTGCAGCAAGCAAGCTCGCTGGCTGGAACTCTTAAGGAGGGTCCCTCAGCAACAGGAAAGTTTCTAAATCTACAGGATGAAGTAGACGTTATCGGACAGCAGAAGCTTTTCATTCTATCCCACTGAAAGACAAATGCATTATAAAATTACTCTGAATACTGAGGGAAAATGCAGATTAGAGATATGGCTTCATAGTATAACACATTAACTTTTCATAGTCAAGGGAATTAATTTCTCTTTTAAAATTTATTAGTAGCATATTTAAAAGGAAAAGTTGTGCCTTTAATCTATGAAACCAATGCAATTTACTGCATTTTCAAAGTAAACTAGATGTGAAATGCTGTTTCCAGTTCTGATTCTTACTTCAAAAAGGGAAGCACTGATTTGAATGCAAGCCTCTGTCCACCCAGGGACCGGATACAATTCTGAATTCCACCTTAAATTGCTGAGACACTGGGCTCCAGGTCAGAGTGGACTTTAATCTGAGGAATTCTTTGGCATTAAAATGAAAATAAAAACAGTAATCAGTACATGCTGTTTCATTTAGTCTTGTTTGCCTTTCATATTAGAGGAAATTCTTGCCACACCTCAAACCAAAATTAAGGAGTAAAGAAAGAAGTTAGCCACATAAATATGACCAAGAGTACAAACATCTTAATTTGAATCCAAAGTTTTGTATAATGAAAAAAAATACACAATTTAAATTCAACCCAAGTGTTTCCCAAGCAGATTGTATTTGCTTAAATTGCTACAGTAATTCAAAGGACAGCCCTGTCTGGACTCAGAGTTACTGTGGATTTTTTAAGAAACTCCGTTAGAGAATTTAGGCATTTCTGATTCAGTTAAAGGATTTGCCAATTCATCAATCCCTGAAACTAAAGCAATTTCAACAGGTATGATGATAAAATAATTTTCAACTCTTAAAGAATGTATTCCTACTGTTATAAAAGTATATTGTATTTGTTTAATAGTAAATAGCAACTATCATAAAAGCACAATTTGGGGAAGCAAAAGTGGTAAAAAATTACATTAAATTTTTGATTAGACAAAATGTTCAAGCAAAAAGATCAGTAAGGTGAGTTTAAATTTCTCATTTAAAATTACTCAAAAACAATATTTGTTTAGAATCTTATTTTTTTTAAATAAATTTAGGTCAAATGGAAAGATACTTGGGTTAAAGGAATCAATCTCTCTTTAGTTTCTTGGGTCTGCTTTTCTGTACTTAGCTTTTAAAAAAAAAATAACTTGTTTAACTTTATTTTATGTGCATTGGTGTGAAGGTGTCAGATTCCCTGGAACTGGAGTTACAGACAGTTGTAAAGTGCTATGTGGATACTGGGAACTGAACCTGGGTTCTCTGGAAGAACAGCCAGGGCTCTTCAGCCCTGAGCCATCTCTTCAGCCCCTGTTCTTAGTTTTAAATGACAAAAAAACCTGCTAATGCTTTGAGCCACAAATCCAGGTCGTGAGGGTGAGCACAGTTGTAGGGAAGGTGTGCATTGTTCAAAATTTTTCTGCTGGGCAAAATACTGGTCTAGAATGTTTTTGTTTTCATTTGTATCATTCTCAAAGAAAAGATATGAACATTTTATCCTATTATTAATGAATACTTAAATTTAAGATTTAAGTGTATTATGGCTAAAAATAACAGACATACTTTTTAATAGCAAAAGATTTTACAGAATTAAACAAAGTTGTCTTAGACAAAAAACACATGTACAAATAATTTTTATTTACTGGTTTCTATAGCATATCAATAAAACAATTACATCTTTAAAATAGTAAAATGCTATGACGCTTTTACCTGTAAGTTTCCAGAACTAAGTAAACCATACCTCAATTCTGTTAATTTAGATTAGGACCGACATTGGTTAAAAAACATGAGTGCTTTTCTTCAAGTAAGAGAAATGTTAGGATAAAGATACTTATTGTCTTATTTGAAAAATTCACATTATTGGATAATTTCTTAAAATTTACATTAATTCTTTGCTTTAAATTTTCTTCTTTACCGGCCGTTTTTCTAATAAGACAAAGTAATATAAGTGCGAAATATCACATATTGTTATAGAGAAATAAGTACAAAGGATAATAGCCACTTTCTCTAATTCTTTTTCATCTAAACAAACCACCAAGGTGAAATGCCTAGAGAAGTCAACATTAACAAAGAGAAGTGTTACTACCAAGGTGTACTCTTAATCAAACACACTAAGCAGAGCATTCCACTGATCTTTGACTACTTACAACCAGCGCACTGTACTTAGGCTTTGTTAAAAATTAGAGATTGAGAAATGAGAAGACAGTGAGTTACTGTGAAGGTTCTCTGAGTTATACTATAGGACATAACACATAAATTGTAGAATATGGAAACCGAAGTTACAAACTAAGCTTAGCAAATAAATGGCTAACAAGAGACTCTCTGAGTGAAATGAAGTAAAACCATCTCAGGGAAAAGTACCACAGGGGACCAGACAAAGACTAGTAAATGACAGGATTTCAGACTAAAAGTCACTGTACAGGGAAGCCTTTTGAACTGTGTACAAAGAGACAACAAGAGCAATCTTTTTTATCTTTAGAGCCCCTTGTTTGTTATAAGGCTTTTACCCTGACAGGCTGCCATGAGGTATCAGATCAGATTATTGCAAGGTTATTCTTTGCTTTCAATTTCTCACAACTGCTGAGCAGCAGATTCTAATCCTAAAATGTTGCTAAATTCTAATTCTGAAAGGTTGTTAGCTGATGGCTGCTAATGGTCTTAACACAAGGATAAAGTTCAGATGAAGTGGATGCTCATAAGCAAGCATAAGAGAACTTTAGTTCTCTGTGTTCTGGTCCAGTGCCACAGGCCAGCTCTGCTTCTCGGCTTTCACTGCATATTTTGGGGAAAGAGCCTCTTAGAATGTATTTCTAGTCGCTGTATTGGGAATGAAATAGAACAGCACAAATGCTTTAAAAAGATACTATGCTATAATATAGCAAGTAAAATAAAATCTTAAAAATTTGAAGTAAGCTGGGTGATGGTGGCGCATGCCTTTAATCCCAGCACTCAGGAGGCAGAGGCAGGCGGATCTCTGTGAGTTCGAGACCAGCCTGGTCTACAGAGCTAGTTCCAGGACAGGCTCCAAAGCCACAGAGAAACCCTGTCTCGAAAAACAAAACAAACAAACAAACAAAAAAATTGAAGTAAAATGTCACCAACAGGAGAGTGAAATGTATAAGTTTTTTCTAAACCCATTTCTCCTAAAGGGCCAAAGTCTGGTTCAAATGATGCCTGGAAAAGACCTCCCTATTTCTCCCAGGAGGGTCAACGCCTGATCCTGCAGCACTAATTATCCCCATTTGGTTATAGTTCATTTTATAGTGTTGGTCTCCTCTTTTAAATTGTTAGCTTTATAGAGGGGCCCATGTCTTCATTCTCTATTTCTGTGTTCCCTAACAAGCACATTGTGTCACAGTTAGAAAGAACTTTTTAAAAAAAAATGTGACCTTAAGTAATCCAGTTAAACTAAGTACTAATATTTATAAAGGGTGGTACTAAGCACACACATACAGTATCTAACTGAGTAACCACAGCAGGGAAATGATTATCCCAAAGCAAACTCTCAGGGAGGTTCCAGCCTAAAGCAGAGTTGGCTTGCTCTGAACATGCCCATTGGGATGAAATCATAACTCATTTACTCCATCTCTTCTCAAGTCTCCACTAAGAATATTGCAGTATGAAGATCAAAGTGCAAATACACACTTAATTAAATTATGAATTCATTACCAGAGTTCAAATTCCTTAGGAATTTAGACTCTCAGATTCTGGCTCGTTGAACAGTCACCATTTCTAGGCATGTCACACTTCTAGCTTCTTCTACGCTGTTACTCACCTGTTTACTTGGAAGAAGACTTTCTTACTTTGTTCTTATAGAATTCTAAAAGTTCTTCAAAACACAGTAATATACTATATCCTTCATGAATTACATGATAAAAAACAATTGATGCAATATACTTAGAGTTACTTGAGTTTAAGAAAATCACATATTACTAAAGAGATCAAAGTATTTCAATTAGGCACTTTCTTATAAATAAAAATAATGTGCAAATACAATTTATTATTTAAACCTCCCTTTTATTTATTTTTTTAAAAGCAAGGTTATAATCCAAAAAGAATGATGAGAAATGATGTTTTACAGCCTTGATAAAAGAAAACACAACAAAATAAAAAACAACAACAAACTAGTAGTCTCGACAAGAGGGAAAGGAGATGTACTAAGGAACTGCAGCCATGCCATACTTGAGGTTGTAGCCAAGACTGAGAATGAGCCCAGTCAGCCTGGTTTTGTTTTTCCTTCTTCATATTCAGCTATGTGAGTCAGAATGAGAGCAGGGAGGAAACCGCCAGATGTAGAGAACTCAGAAAACTGAGGGACCATGCAAAGGAGTAATGAGAACAATGAACTGTAGTATCCCAGTAGAGGAATTTAGACTGCAGGAAGTGTGGCTGGAGGCAGTAAAATCAGTAGCATCAACATACATTAGACTTCTCTAAAACTCAGGAACTATATGTAGTTAGAGGTACTACCTGAGGATATGGTCAGAGTATACAGTATGTTCAAAATTGAGAATATGACTTCTGATAATTTAGCAGGCTCAGGACATGAGTTTACAGGAAGAACTGAGACAAATTATGGGAGAAAAAGGAGCAAATGGAGCTCCGTCAGAGAAATGACTGATGTAACTATTTTTTCAGTTACACCAATGCTGAAAAACAGGAGATATCATTTTAGAGGAGTAACTGTAAACAATTTCATTAACACACAGTAATGTTAGGGCATTCACCTGTTCATTCATTCATAAAACCCCTGGAGGAAAAAAAAGGTCTCAGGGAAAAAAGATACATTTTTTTCCTTTAACATTTTTCTAAATAATGTTCATTTCAACTGTAGTTTTTTGTTTGTTTGTTTTGTAGGAAAGTAGTTTTCAATTTGACAAGATATGAGTATCTCCTGTGCGCCTAAGTCAGGAGACTTAGACAGGAAAGACTGCTTTGAAATTGGAGACTAGCCTAGTAACACTGTGAGACCCTGTCTCAAAAAAAAAAAAAAAGAAAGAAAAGAAAAGAAAAGAAAAAGTGAGATTTTATCTTCTAGCTGACGTAGGTAGCAAGACTAAGACAACATAAAGATAAGCAGGCAATCCATGGGGCTGGGAAGATAGACTGTCAGCAAAATTCTTACTTATCTTGCCAGCAGGAAGATCTGAGTCTCAGTCCCATGTTATAAATAAATAAACAAGTGTGGTGACACTTGTAATCCTAGCACCTGGGAGGAGAGATGGGAAGTCCCTGTGAATCACTGGCCAGTCAGCCAACACAGTAAGAGACGCCTGTCTTAGAAAATTAAAAGGTAGATGATGCCAGATGAAGGCACCTTAAGTTGTCTTCTTGATTTCACATGAATGTATACACACACACAGTAATGTATAATTTAAGTATAATTACAAATTTCACTTTATTCTTTTGAAGAAGTGTCTTACTGTATTATTAATTGGCTGCCAACTCCTGAGCTCAAATGATCTACCCCTGATCAGGTGAAATTATATGCACGTGCACATGCTCAGCAACTGCAATTATTATTAATAAAGCAAGAAGCAGAAATGTTAAATGACAGAAATGAAATTCAAGTTTTCACCTCCTTGTTTAAAACATACTCCATCCTTACTCAAGTTTCAACCAAAATAACTGTTAGTTATCTGTGAAGGTGTCACCTCACAATCCAACTCAATACAACATTCTTTTTTTTACAATTTTTTTTTTCGAGACAGGGTTTCTCTGTGGCTTTGGAGCCTGTCCTGGAACTAGCTCTTGTAGACCAGGCTGGTCTCAAACTCACAGAGATCCGCCTGCCTCTGCCTCCTGAGTGCTGGGATTAAAGGCGTGCGCCACCATCGCCCGGCCTCAATACAACATTCTTAAAATGCAGTATACAGTCATTTTTAATATCCATACATCCAGACCGTAGCTCAAAAATATTATTCAAAGCCAGATATAGTAATAATCCTTGTAGTCTCAGGACCTGGGAAGGGGAGACAAGAAGATCATGAGTTTAAGGACAGTTTCACTTAAATAGCAAGCCTGAGGGCTAACCTGGGCTCTATGAGGCCCTGTCTCAGGAAGGAGGCAGAGCAAGAAGGAGGGAGAAGAGAAGGAAGGTAGAGGGAGGGAGGTGGGGGAAAGGAGGAAGAGAAAAACTTAGCGAAAAAGTCAGGAAGAAAACATGAAAATATTAATCTAATGGGAAAGCAAACTTTGCAGGATGTAAATATTGCGTGCACTTGAACTTTGTTAGAGTTACTCAACAAATTGGAGACAAAATAATTAAGATTTGAGAAACTGTTTCAAGAAGAAAATATAAAGGTATAGATAGACAGAAAACTGCAAGAAAAACACATGATAGTGTTTTCTAAACAAGTTACCAAATATAAAAGAATGTTCTTTTGAAGAACAAGGAAAGGATTTCAGTAACAACAATAGCAGGGAGCAAGATTTTGTTTCAATAAAAATTTTTAATATGCAAAAATCTTTAACTGTTCACAGAGGCAGCAACCACCACTAGCAGACAGAATGGTTAGAAAGAATGCTCAGCATTCACAGTGGAGTTGAGTGACGTCACACTATTATTACAAACCTACAGTCTAGAAAACAAGACAACTGAGATTCTTTTAAAAGTTAATGACTGTATATAGTACTGTGTTTAACACATGTAATCTCAGCACTTGGGAGGGAGAGGATTGCCTGTAATTCAAGGCCAGCTTGGTTTTCATAGTAAGTCAAGTCAGTAAGGGCTACACAGGGAATTTGGTCTATAAAAAACAAAGTAAACAAATGAAAGATAGTGACTACTTAGTAAAAAGTCCAGAACAGCACACTTCTGACTCCTGTTCAATGCCACATGTGACTCTTAATTTTACTTCATGGGCATTTAAACATTAAATTTTGATGTGAGCTTTGCTCATGTTTCCCGAATATTCTGTTATATATAGGTACCAATATAATAAATCTTAAATGTGTCAATTTATGAGAATTATTATTAATCATTTTTTTTTCTTTGCAATAGGACCAAAAAAAAAAAAACCAAACAAACAAACCATGGGCTTTTTAAGTCCAATATATGTCCTTTTCTTCTGTTTTGGAGTTAGAGTATATTGCCAATACGAAGCTTACCAATGGGATGAAGAGTATGACCAAGAGCCAAATGAGGGTTATGAGCCAGAATTCCAGTTTCATCAAAATATTGACTATGGAGTACCCTTTTATCAGAATATTTTAGGCTGTGCTAAGGAATGCTTTTGCCCAACTAACTTTCCAACATCGATGTACTGTGACAATCGTAAACTCAAGACTATTCCAAATATTCCAATGCACATTCAGCAACTCTACCTTCAGTTCAATGACATCGAGGCTGTGACTGCAAATTCATTCATCAATGCAACCCATCTTAAGGAAATTAACCTCAGCCACAATAAAATTAAATCTCAAAAGATTGATTATGGTGTGTTTGCTAAACTTTCAAATCTACAACAACTCCATCTAGAGCACAACAACTTGGAAGAATTTCCATTTCCTCTTCCTAAATCTCTGGAAAGACTCCTTCTTGGTTATAATGAAATCTCCAGACTTCAAACAAATGCCATGGATGGACTGGAAAACCTGACTATGCTTGATCTCTGCTATAATCATCTTTCTGATTCAGTGTTAAAAGAAAAGAACCTTTCCAAAATGGAAAAACTGATGCAGCTCAACCTATGTAATAACAGATTAGAATCAATGCCCCCTGGACTGCCTTCCTCACTTATGTACCTATCTTTAGAAAATAATTCAATTTCATCTATACCAGACAATTATTTTGACAAACTTCCAAAACTTAATGCTCTAAGAATGTCACACAACAAACTGAAAGACATTCCATATGATATATTTAATCTTTCCAACCTTATAGAACTCAACGTTGGACACAATAAATTGAAGCAAGCATTCTACATTCCAAGGAATTTGGAACATCTATACCTACAAAATAATGAAATAGAAAGTATGCAAAATTTTGCACTTTTTAAAGAACAAAAGATTCTTTTCTGACTGGTATTTTGACTTATTTTTTTTTTGGGGGGGCTGTAATGTTGAGACAAGGTTTCTACTATGTAGCTCTCTATTTGCCCAGGAACTTCATGTGTAGACAAAACTTGTCCTCAAACTCAAAAATATTGGCCTGCTTCTGCCTCCCTCGTGCTGAGATTAAAGGCATATGCACCAATATGCCTGATGAATTGTATTTTGACTCATTATAAAGAATGAATTATTAATCATCTATGCTTTCTATAATGCTAAAAAAAGGCTTGGAAGACAGCTAAAGAGATGGCAGATAGTGGCCTGGGAAAAGGGAGTGACAATTTTATAGTCATTTTTTTTTCAAGACAGGATATCTCTATAGCTTTGGAGCCTATCCTGGAACTAACTCTTGTAGACCAGGCTAACCTCGAACTCAGAGATATGTCTGCCTCTGCCTCCTGAGTACTGGGATTAAAGGTGTGTGCCACCACCACCACCCAGCCCCTAATTTTATAGTCTTTTTTATTCAGCTTTACCACCTTGAATATTAGCAAGTAGTACTAGAAAGAACATCTGAAGACATATGACCCTGGGTAGTATGGCTGTTTTTTTTGTTGTTGTTGTTGTTGTTTGTTTGCTTTGCTTCTTTCTTTGTAAGATTGCTTCTAGCAATTATATATTGCCCATATAAACTGTAAATTCAATGAATTCATATTTATTTTGGTAATATGAAACTCAAGAATTTCATTTCATTTTAATTAATATAAAGATAATTAAACCTAACTCCACTTGTAAGTATTAAGATAAAATTATATCTCATATAACAAAACCCAACATGGAATTGTGACTATATGCAGGATGAATTTTTAACTTGTATTTTTCAGATATCAATGTGACAATGATGTGTCCTTCTACTGACCTACTACACCATCGCCATTTAACATACCTTCGAGTGGACCAAAATAAGCTGAAAGAACCAATAAGTTCATACATCTTCTTCTGCTTCCCTCATATACACAGTATTTACTATGGTGAACAAAGGAGCACTGATGGTGAAACAATACAACTAAAGACCCAAGTTTTCAGGAGATATGAAGAGGAGGAGGAGGAGGAGGAGGAAGAAATCCATGATGGTCAGGACAACACTCTCGAGGGACAAGAAGTACCAGAAGAACACTTTAATTCTCATTATTATGAAATGCAAGAATGGCAGGAAACTATATAGGTATCTATTAGGACTTCAAAAAACCATACTAATTACAAATCTAAACATATACTGCTCAAAATAATATAAATAGAAATATTTGTTAGTATAAGACCAGAATTGCATTTAAGATGTTGGTGACTTAAAGTTTACTAAAAAATGATACAAATCTTAAGTAATATAAGATAAAATGGCAAGTGAGAATAAAACTAAGCTTAAGTGGCTTCATTCTTTAAACTCATTCTTAAAATTGGAAATAGTATCATGTAAAGAACAAGGGCCAGCAAGATGGTTCAGTAGATAAAGCATTTGCCACCAAACCTGATTACTCGAGCAGGAGAGACCCTGCTCGTTGTCAAGTTTTCCTCTGACCACATGTGTGCCTGCCAATCACAAAACCATCTGAATATGCCACTTCCAATGATGGGATTTTTTTTCCCCTAGGGATGATAACTAAGTATCATTAACAGTGAAGACAAAAGCTGCCCTCTGGACCATAAGAGGATATCTGAGCAAGAGGAAGGATATTAACCTAACAGTAGTGTTTCATACAAGAGAAACCACTTTTACTAACGTTATCTACAGAGTTGCTTCCACATTTGTATTTCCTCTTTTTTTCCCCCTTTGGTTTTTTCGAGACAGGGTTTCTCTGTGTAGTCCTGGAACTCACTCTGTAGATCAGGCTGGCCTAAAACTCGGAGATCCATCTTCCTCTGCCTGCTGAATGCTGGGATTAAAGGGGTGGGCCACCACTGCATGGCTTATTCTTTTTTTTTTTTTCTTTTATTTACTTATTTTTGGCATACTTGTATTTCTTTTTTCTTTTTTTTTAAAATTATGTATCATGTATACAGTGTTCTGCCTGCACACCAGATGGTTATGAGTACCATGTGGTTGCTGGGAATTGAACTCAGGACCTCTGAAAGAACAGCCAGTGCTATTAACCTCTGAGCCATCTCTCCAGCCCCACATTTGTATTTCCAATCCCAGTAAGATATGTGTCCCAGGTTCAGTGCTCTTTCCTGATCTCCATTTTGAAGTATTTTAAGTGTGCTCTATGATGAATATTCTAACTGTTGTAGAACTCTTATCTACCCCAGGCATTAAGGATTCATAGAACTCCTGATAAAAAGGAACAAATGCATGCCAACACAAAGAATCCAAAAACACATGGCAAAAAATCCAGACAGTGTGCAATTAACAGATGAGTACACTATAATTTGGAAGTATTCAAACTTCTGAGTGCTGAGAAGCCTCTATTGTGTCTTCTGTCTTAGAGTAGGTTGTTAATATTAACAGAAGAGAACATTCACTTGCCCACAGGTGCAAAGCTGACAATGCATAATGAACACAAACAAAACTCCAACCATTCATTTCATCATCCACATCAAGTTATTATTTAGTGTATAAGGCATAGCAGTGAGATCAGGAAAGAAAGCACAAAAAGCAACTGTGACACAAAGAGAGTGAAGCCCAAGAGTCAAATACTAGTGGGATGAGCTAGTCCTCCCTGTGACACAGGCCTTAAGGACCTTAAGGACCACTGGTTCTCCTGAAATGTTTCAAAATGCAATTACAAATTCAATTATTTATTATGACTGAAAAAAATGATACTGTGAGTGCTAAGAGATAAGCAAGATCAGACAATTTTTCTGCTTCCATCATTTTTTTTCTTTTTCTTTTCTTTTTTTTTTTTTTTTTTTTTTGGTTTTTCGAGACAAGGTTTCTCTGTGGCTTTGGAGCCTGTAGACCAGGCTGGTCTCGAACTCACAGAGATCCGCCTGCCTGTGCCTCCTGACTGCTGGGATTAAAGGCATGCGCCACCATCGCCCGGCTGCTTCCATCATTTTAAAATTTAAGAAGATCCACAAAGGAAATGCAAATCAAAACCACAATTCAAACATTACCTTTTTCTCATTACAATGGCAGCAAACAAAAGACAGGCAAATAACAAATATTGGTGAGAAGATAGGAAGACTGGTACCCTCACACACAGCTGATAGAAAATACTGCAGTTATTTAGAAAGCTCCAGTTAGGTATGAATCAGCATGTCTAGGCATATGCTCAAAAGAACTAAACACAGGTTCATACCAAAGTTTGCTCAAGACCATCCATAGCAGCATTATTCATGAGTACAAATGAGAAAAATAGCTGGGTATGGAGTCCCAAAGCTGTGTAATCTCAGCACTTGAGAGTGGAGGGTGGATGCAGGAAGTTCAGGAGTTTGAGATTCTCCCATATATAGCAAGTTTGAGACTTGCATGGGCTAGACCCTGTCTCAAAATAGAACTGATGACGGGGTTTCCTTTACAAGTAATAAAATTTTCTAAAATTATTGTGATGATTATTATGTAACAACTCGAAAATACTAAAATGATTGAATTTGTACACTTTAAGAAGGTGGATAAATTGAATGAGAATTAGTGTAACAAAGTATTTTAAAAAAATCATGCAACTTGTTCTAACCCAAGGTATAAGCAAACAAAATGATAAAATGTCAGAGATGATAAACCAGGTAACCATGGACACCATAACTAATTTCTGGCCTGGACCTGGTTAAGCAGCTGAGACTTCAGGAAGAAGTGATCCTGTAATGTAGCAGGAACTCAGTGGAAGTAGAGACTAATGTAGATCAATGTAAAAAAGTAGTAATTACTTGAACTCTTGCACAGTTAAAAAGTAAAAATTCTCAATTTTATTATGTCTAGAGATTATTTCTTCATTTCTTTCTGTGGACAAAATTTTTAAAAAAACATCTTAATAAATGTAAGTAAATTGCCACAAAATCTCTCATGTTCAAACCTCTGAAGATGTAGGTCTACAATCTTTTTAGTATTATTCAAAAATGCCACAGTAAACTCAAACCAACCTAAGGATTTCCTAGTAAACATAAAGCAAATAAAAAACTAATTACTTTTCCTCAGAAAGACTCCTATGTATGGCAGTTACCTGCATCAGACACAGAGAATCATCTTGGTGTTTATGACAGGAGCGGAAACCACGAGAATCTGCTCTTCACACTGGATGGTGGGTGTTTGATTAGATTACAAAAAAGGCTAAACCGCTTGTAAGGACTGACAAGTATGCACATCAAGCCAAAGAACCCAAGATTAGTCAAAAAAAAAAAAAATAAACACAGTTGCTTTTAGAAAGAAAATAAAAATAAAGGATCCTTCAGAAAAAAATAATATGCTCACAATAGTACGGTTGGAAAACATCTAGCCTGCATGTATCACCTAAAGCACAGATTTTTAACTTATTCTTCAATTTAGGGACTACTAAGCTGAAATACAGATGCACGCAGATCACATAACACATTTAGCCAATTCCAGGAGGGAAGAAAGCAGAAAAAAACTAAACATAAAAAAAAAATCCTCATCTCTTTTTAAACTTGCTTGTGTTATAAAGAATTCCTCTCTCCCCAAGAGGCTGGAACTAAAATCCTGGTTTCCTGATTCAAAATGCATTTTCCACCTAAATCTTGGAAATAAGTAAAAGAGCAGCTGGAAACAAAATTAGATCATAACATAAAGCTCCAAGTTTCTGAGATGAATATAAAGAATCTCATGCCTAGTTTAAGTAACTATTTAGTAGACCAAGCACTGGTATAAGCAGCAAGATGTCACGCACACATTTTTCTTCACTGTAAGTGCTCAGGTTGTGAATACACTATACACAAAGATAAAATACCTTTTTAAAAAAGCACCAACGTGTCCTCACACTGCATCATAATCTCCTTCCCCTTTAGTGTATAAGGCACTTACACTATCATGTCTTTCAAGGGAACAAACGATCTATGTTTTCGTAAACACATGAGAGTTAAGACAACATGCTTGCTATAAGGTCCGAGTCTAATTTTTTTTCCTTTTTTTCTTTTTTGAGGCAGGGTTTCTCTGTAGCTTCAAAATCTGTCCTGGGACTCACTCTGTAGACCAGGCTGGCCTTGAACTCACAGAGATCCACCTGCCGCCTCTGCCTCCCAAGTGCTGGGATTAAAAGCGTGTGCTACCTCAGCCCGGTGGATTCTAAAAAGTTTTAAGTATCTGGCAACTCAGGAGTTCTCCTAGGCTCGGTTTTTAAAAATAATTTATTTTTGTTTATACTTACAACATCCGAGTGTCTGCCACATATGTGCAGGTGCCTGAGGTAGTCTAAAGAGGGAATTGGAGTCCCAGGTGGTGGTGATCTGCCCAAGTTGGGTGTTAGGATCCCAATTTAGGTCCTCTAGAAAAGCAGCAAGTGCTCTTAACTGCTAAGCCATCTCTCCAGCTGCCAAACGTTTGCTCACCTATCTAATAGCTATAGCGCAAACTAGGTGATGGCTAGCCTTTAGTTTCCTTAAGGCTTTTGTTTTGTTTTTATTCTAGAGATAAACTCTTGTTGTGTAGCCTAGGCTAGCATAGAATAAAACAACAAACCTGCAACCTGCCTGGCTTTGCCTCTCAGTGTTGGGATTAAAGACAGGTTCTCCCATGACTGGCCAATGGACTGTGCCTCCTTGGGCCTGGAGAGGTGAGTCGATTAAAAACACTTACTACTCTTCCAGATGATCCATGTTCAATTCCCAGCACCCACATGGAAGTTCATGACCTTAACTCCAATTCCAGGGCGTCTGACCCTCTCTTCTGGCCTCCTCAGGTATCAAGAATGCAGGTAGTACACAGATATACATGCAGGTAAAATAGCCAACACATAATCATGGAAGGAAGGAAGGAAGGAAGGAAGGAAGGAAGGAAGGAAGGAAGGAAGGAAGGAAGGAACGAACCTAAAGAACTTTCCCAAAATTGGGTGAGGTCATACCAAGGGAACCAAAGTTTTAAGAAGTCTCACAAGTACTCTGACTTTAAATCAGTTTCCTATGAAGTCAGTTGATGATGTTGAAGATGGAGAAAATAACAACCCACTAGATAGGTTATGGTTTCTGTGTACATTTTCTCTCTTCCTCCTTCCCTACCTTGCTTCTTGTGCTTAATTTCTTGTCTCCGCACCCCAGGGTGTTTTTTTTTTTTTTCTGAGAAAAGGTCTCACTATGAGAACTTTGGCAGGAACTCAAAGAGATCTGCCTGCCTTGGCCAACACACACACAGGCACTCGCACACAGTGTGCCGGCATCTGTTTTTAAAAGCAGGGTCTCAAATAGTTCAGCTGGCTTAGAACTCACCCTGTAGCTGTGAATGATCCTGAAGTCCTGATCCTTCTGCCTCTATTTCACAAGTGCTGGGGTTACAGGTAGCACTACAATGCCTGTTTTATGCATAGGTGGCAATGGAACTCAGGGCTTCCTGAATATTATGCAAACAGTCTATGAACTGAACTACATGCTAACCTGAAAACTCAGCTCCATTCAACACATTTTAATTGCTTACTGCTGAGAAACAATTAGGAAGCACCTGGCTGATGAGGCACCCTTGAAAAAATAAAGCCCCTATAAGGCTCCAAGGGTAGCACAGCAGAGTTACCTAAATGAATGTTCTACAGTAAATTCTTACTATATGAATATCTTATCTAAAGCATTTGGAAGCTTTCATGTTTAACAGTGAAAATTAAGAAATTTTCTACCAGAATGTAGTATTTCTTTCTGAAATGGAAAACAACCTCAGTTTCAAACAGTTCCATAGGGAACTGTATATAAGAACTTTAACTTTCCTTAAAGAGAAGCTGAACTTAACCAGGTGGTGGTGGTGGTACATGCCTTTAATCCCAGCACTATGGAGGCAGAGGCAGGCAGATCTCTTGTGGGCTTGAGGCCACCCTGATCTACATAGAGCTAGTTCCAGAACAGACTCCAAAGCTACAGAGAAACCCTGTCTCAAAAAAACAAGAGAGAGAGGAAGGAGGGGAGAGAGAAGAGATTATGCCATTCTCTAAAGTTTTGTCTTTGTTTTCGGTGAGACTGGCCACATACAATAGTTTTAGGGGTAGGTTAGCTTGGCCAGAAAGACCATTTACACGACTTAGGATAGAGGGTTTAGGCTATGTAGAACTAGTCATCTGAAGAGTAGATTCAACCACAGGCATACTCTAGACTCTGTTATAGCTTCTCCATGCCTGGTTTTTATGTGGAACTCTGCTCTGGTTAAGCCACAACTACTGGCTGAACTTTCTTCAGTGCGTTCTTACTTCTTTTAGAGAATTGAACTCAGCTCTTCTGTAAGAACAGTAAGTACTCTAAGTACTGAGCCATCTCTAACCTTCATGCTCTATTTTAAATATTTATCCACATTTTCCTTTGGGAAAAATGAATTGTGACATTAACTATTAAAAGCATTAAAGAATAATAAAAATAAAAGTACTTTGTTTTTTAGACAAGGGCTTTGCTATGTAGTCCAGTCTAGCCCTGAACTTTCTTTCCTACCGTCTCTTATTCTCTAGTGTGTGATTACAAGAATATGCCCAGCAAATTTTTCTTTAGGTTAAGTCTTTTTTTTTAACTGTTAAATTCATTTTATATATTAACTACATTTCCCCCCTCCTTCCACTTCCTCCTGCCTCTATCCACTCCTCTGAGAGAGAGCCTTAAGCCTCCCATGGGGAGTCAACAAAATCTGGCATATCAAGTTGAGGCAGGACCAATCCTCTCCCCCCTATATGGAGGCTGAGTACAATATTCCACCATAGGGAATGGGCTCCAAAAAGCCAGTTCATGCACCAGGAATAAATCCTGGTTCCACTGACAGGGGGCCTACAAAAAGACAAAGTTACACAACTGTCACCCACATTCAGAGGGCCTAGGTCGGTCCCTTTAAAGATGCCTGGATAGTATCTACACTATTACTTTATAGTTCTCCGTTTTTTTTAAGACACAGTTTCACTATATAGCTCTCATTGGCCTGGAACTTGCAGTGTAGAACAGACTAACAGAGATCTTTCTGCCTCTACTTAAAGGTGTGGACCACTAAACTCATCAGCTCTACTTTAGTTTTTCAAAATTAAATTTAATATAAAGTTTCATTCAGTAAAAATTTTTGCTATTACAAATTTATATAATCAAACTTATTTTTAAAAACTATTTCCACACTCCATTTTTTGTTTGTTTTGTTTTTCAATAAGCGTCTCACTATGTAACTCTGGCTATCTTGGATTGTGGAACTTAGTACAGAACAGAGTACTACTCTCACTGGGTAGACCAGCCAGCCTCGAATTCACAAATATCCATCCGCCTGCCTCTGCCTCACAAGCGCTGGTATTAAAGGTGTAGACCACTATGTCTGGCTATTTTCCCACTCTTGTGAACTAAAATAAAGGAATTAAAAACTAAAGGACAAAACTTAAAAATAATTTGGGTTAAAATTTACTTTACATATAAATTTCTAACATGCTAATTATAGTAGGAGAACAAAATCCTTAGTTTTCATTAAATTAACAACAAAGACTGGTTTGGTGGTCCATTTTTCAAAAGTGTTTTATATACCAGAAAAGCACAGGAACAAAAGCATGATTTAAAATATATATCATTTCTATAAACTAATATTCGCTAAAGGATTAGTGCTTAATATACAAGGTAAAAGAGATCGGGACTCCAGTGTGCTGCAGCAGCCAGCCCTGGTGCCGCAGTTTCAAACATCTTCAGCACATTCTCTCATACAACACCCTGCATTTCACCCCGGAGGAGGAATGCTGGCAAAGATATGCACCACATGAGATCTGCTGTTGGATTCCACCACATGGAATTTAAGCTGTTGGGCCCTGAAACTTTATTCAGCAGTTGGAAACCATTCCACGGCGTTGCTCCTTCACCCTCCCACTTGGGACTAATGCACAGGCATGAACACCTATTGAAGAAAACAACACAAGACTTCAACCAGTGACTACGGTAGGCTTGTTTCTCACATATTAATTTAAATACTGTGTGTTAAAGTGTGATTCTAAAAGTCTTAATAAATGTAAAGTCATTTGTAGTTAAGTTTAATTTTCCTTGAATAATTAATTTTCAGCAATACTTTCATATATCATTTTATAACTTTAACATTGATGTAAATAAGAACTGGAAGTTACAAACCCATTTTATTTTGAGATTTCAAACCCTGGCTATCTGACAGACTGGCATCTGCAGTGCAGCATCAGCACCTCTCAGCGACTGTGTGTACTTAAAAGCTGTCTGAAACGTGTACTCAGCAGTTAAAGATCACTGGTGAACCTCAAAGAATCTTTCCAGGACATTCTCCAAAGTTCCTCCCTTAAAGTTTATGTGACCCTAGTCTGCAGTGGTACTGCTGCACTGTCCATAGTTTAAGCTTTAAAAGGCAAGATTACTAATTAACAAGATAACCCGCTATATTTACAAAACTAGAGAAACTTTTATTATACACCACTTAAAAGTGTTACTGTCTACTTTTATGATGTTAAACTTAAGGTTTAAGTTTTAATCCTTGCCTCAGACTGCTTCTTTTACCTCAATATGGATCAAGAGTTCCTTTAAAGCAGCAATGTTGAAATATGATATTTTTAACTCCACATGACACAGGATCATGTATCTTCGTGTTAACCATTTATATTGCAAGTATTCCAAGAAGACTCTGACTGCATACAAATACCCATATTCAAGGCATTCGATTGTTAGTAAACCTAGCAATAATTCTTAAATTTCTTGATAGGTAAGAAATAAAACTACTTTCTGAATTTTTCAGAATCTTTACTGGCACATAAAAAACTGTTAGTATCTAATTAAGAACCGCTAAGGGTTAAATAGTTGTTCTCTATCCCCTACTGCATACACAGTGCCAAAATATTCTCCAAGCTTTTAAATATTGCTTCGATAGTCTGCAGTTTTATTTCCAGGGGGGAAAAAAAGGAGCTTTTGTTCCACAGCTATCAGGTCACTGTGAGTTTGCTGAAATGAAGACTGTGCATTCTACACTTCTCCTGCTACTGCTCGTGCCTCTGACACAGCCAGCACCACAAACTCAACTCGACTCACATATTAACTATGAGTATGGAACAGATCATTTGGAAGAAACAAAATTTAGCCAGGACTATGAAGATAAATACCTGCATGGAAAAAATACTAAGGTATTTTGTTTCTACTTTAAATTTATATTCTAAAATGATACTCATTTAAATGCATATCTTCCCTTAATTTCAATATTTGATAAGGAAAGGAGAAAGGCATTTTAATATTTAAAATAATTGTATTATTCAGATATACATGATTCTTCAATTAACAAGTAGTACCAAATGGTAAACAAAAAGTAGCTAAAGAAATCAAAAATTAAAATTTAAAACATTAAGACTCTGATAGCAGCAATTTATGCTAAATAATGCTACATAATATCCTATAGCTGCATGTTATATTGCCTCAAAAATAAATTAAGAAAAGATAAATTATCAGTTTATGTTTATAGAATTCAGAAAAATACAGTCCAAGGAAGTAAATATAAAAATATTTATTGGTTATGCATGCCAATTACATAGAATACCAACAAATAAAAAACTACAATTATTATGGGGATTTGTTTTTAACCACATTTAAGTTTAGACTCTACTGATTTATACCAAAGATCTGTAATGACATGCCACTGAGTCATGGTTTTTATACCACAATGATACAACCTTCAAAGCAAAGCAATTACTTGTGGTTTTTTTCTGGGTATACAGAAATACTGGGAGGAGAAGGAAGTTAACATAGCATAAAACTATATGCTGCCCACTGTGTGTGATGCACACATACACTGGAAAATTAGAGTCGGATAAATAATAATATTCATTGCTTTAAAAGTTCTTTTTTACCACAAATCAGATAGTTAAGATTTTAAGATTAACCAGTCCAAACGCTTTCCCCTCCTAACTCACAATGAGCTAATGTTAATGCTACAGTTTCTTTTTTCCAAAGGAATGAGTTAAGATGCTAGTATTATTTCTACCTACGGTTATGACAAAACAGACAAATTTCTGTATCAACAGTTTCAAATTAAAAATCAAACAAAACCAAAAAGGTTATAACCTATTGTCTTACTGGAATGATCTGAGTCTATCAACTAACTGCAAGATACTTTCAAAATTCCTTGAACCTTAGAGCTTTCTGCTTAACTACATGGAGCTTTAAGCAGTTTTCCATCAATATAAATGTGTGGGCCAATATTTGTGTGAAGTGGAGAATTCAATGGGGTAGAGTGATGTTTAGGTAGTACACAGATGGGAAAATGAGGGTTAACGGCAAGGTCAGGAGCCCACAGAGAAAACATGGAGCAAGCGGGGAGGTAGAGGGAATAGTACCCCATATAATAAATTATAGTCTACTAGCAGAAAACACATTCTCTGGAAAGAGGACAGAGATGAGATGAAAATCCCCAGTTATACAGTGTTAACAGCCTATACCAATGGTCTGATCAGGTAAAGAAGCAGGATAAAAGGATCCATCGTAAGGCCAAGGCAGGATGCCAGAAGAATTTAGTCAGTACTTTATGTTCTACAGCTACGCTGTTGCTCAGAAGGATTGACACCGAGAAGAGGAAATCAGTTCATATAAAGAACGATAAAGAATAGTTCCACATAAGAAAAACTTTCATTCACATTCAGAGAACTATCTCCTAACCTCACACCTAGAAATTCAATATATTAAATATTTATCAAATATTGAGTTCAGTCCATGAAAACAAAAAAAGCTGATTCTCTTACTCAGGAGTGCATATCCATCCTACCTAGAGTAATGACAGTGTAATTTAATAAATAATGAAATGGAATTATGTATAAAATCTTAATGGAGGGCTGAGATAGCTTGTCACATAAAGTCTCTTGCAGCCATAAAACCCCTAGGCCCATATAGTGGAGAGAACTAACTTCTACAAGTTGTCCTTTGTTTAATATGTATGTCACATACATATAACATGAATACATATATACATACTTATATATACAGACATACACATATAAAACAAAATCTTGATGAAATACCTTTACCAATGACTATGAGGAATGCTTGTGATTCTTCCAGTTTTACAGGCAGATTCCTGTCTTATTACACCTGATAACAAATTTCTAATTTTACAATAGGAAAAGGAAACCATGATAATTCCTGATGAAAAAAGTCTCCAGTTACAAAAAGATGAGGTTGTACCATCATTACCGACCAAGAAAGAAAATGATGGTAAGTATGAACAATCTATCATCTAGTAGTTTTGTCTTTTTGTTTTGTTTTCTGAAGACAGGGTTTCTCTGTGTAATAGCCCTAGTTGTCCTGGAACAAGCTCTTGTAGACCAGGCTGGGCTCGAACTCAGAGATCTGCCTGCCTCTGCCTCCCGAGTGCTGGGATTAAAAACATGCACCAACACCAGTTGGCCATCTACTATTTTTGAAAAGCATCTTTTAAAAGATACATACAAAGACATTTTATTCCTTGTTGTAATCAAAAGTTGTCTCAAGGCATATAAACTGAAATTTCCTCTTCAATGGTAAAGTCATTTTGGCTACATCCGATGTGCTCATCACCTACCATTGTACACTGCGAGGGAAAACTGTGGACTAGAAAACATTCAAGAACATTCAGCAAAAATATCCATTAGAAAACGTTTATTTTTGTTCACATAAAAAATAAATTCAAAAGCCTGGCATGGTGGCATACACCTTTATTAATCCCAATATTTTGGAGGCAAAACAGACAGACCTCAGTGAGTTCTAAGTCAGTCTGTTTATGTAGCAAGTTTCAGGTTAACAAAGAGTACATAACAGGCCTTGCCACAAAAGCAAATCAATTCAAGAAAGAATTAAAGGTTATTTTTCAAGTACAACCAACAGACTTACAACCAATATAATACAATCAATTATTATCTTCAAGACAATTGGGGAAGCCAGGGATGTGGTGGCATACTGTGCGAGGCCCTAAATTCAATGAATAGCACTTTAGAAAGCAGCAAGCAAGGAAACGCAAAGTAGAGAAACATGACTCTATATAAATATCTACAATGTCTGCTTCAATTAAAATAACAGGAATATTACTGCAAAAGAACAAGCTACAAGCCATACTGTACAGTTCTTATATTTGATTTATTCTTGTTAAATAACATGGTTTCACATGAAAGCATGAAAAAAATCCACCCACACCAGTTCCTGTCTTGTAAAATAAAGTTAAAATGAACTAAAACAGAAAACACATCCTCAAAGTCTGGCAAGTATTTTAGTAAAAATGGACTTAAATAATTGAAAAGACTCCTTTTCTTGGACAGGATGCCTCAGTATCATAAAATATCATTATTCTCTAAATTCAGAAAAAAAAGACAACCCCACTAAAATTACTAAATTTTCGATAATGCTAGGGAAGTGGATTCTAAAATGCTTATAGATACATATAAAGGAACAACGAGAGTACAGTTGTGGAAACACTGAACATTGCCATACAAAACACATTTAACAAGTTGGGGATACTAGCAGAAGAACAAAGACTGGACACAGAATCAAAAAGTAGACACAAACAGAAACACAAAGACATTTAGTATATAATTAAAGCAAGAAAAGTACTCAAGCACTCAGCCACTGAGGGAGAAAATTTTAACTAATTGAGTGTAGGAGAACTAGATAGCCATTTGGAGGGAGATAAATTAGATCCATTTTCATAAAAAGAAAAATAAACATAAACATGATCAAGGATCTAAACAAACAAGATGGGACTGGAGTGACGGCTCAGCAGTTAAGAGCACTGGCTGTTCTTTGAAAGGAAACAGGTTCAATTCCCAGCACCCACATGGCAATTCACAACTGCCTGTAACTCCAGTTCCAAGGGATCTGGCACCCTCACACAGACATACATTCAAGCAAAACCCAATGTACATAAAAAATGAAAAGAATCTTTAAAAACAAACAAGCCAGGTGGTGGTGGCACACACCTTTACTCCCAGCACTCGGGAGGCAGAGGCAGGCGGATCTCTGTGAGTTTGAGGCCAGCCTGGTGTACAAGAGCTAGTTCCAGGAGAGGCTTCAAACTGCAGAGAAACCCTATCTCGAAAAACCAACCAACCAACCAACCAACCAACCAACCAACCAACCAACCAACCATACAAGACGAAGTCTTACAAGTAGTAGCAGACAGTTTGGGAGTGGGATGGCTCAAAACCCAGAAATTTTAACAAAAAACATTTTAAAAATTACTTCATAAAATTACAGAAAATAAAAAACTTTTTTTTCCAATTTTATTTTATGTACATTAGTGTTTTGCCATGGGTTTTAGATCCCCTGGAACTGGAGTTACAGAGAGTTGCGAGATGCCATGTGGGTCCTGGGCACTGAACTCAGGTCCTTTGGAAGAGCAGTCAGTGCTCTTAACCACTGACTGAGTCATCTCTCCAGCCCCAAGAAAAAACTTTTACATCATAGCAAGAACCAATGTTCATGCAAATACACACAAAGCAGAAAAATAAACAATATTTTTAATTTTTAATAAGAATATGTCTGGAAGACTATTAACAAAATGACTTTAAAGTGACACTAAATACATGAACAGATGTTCAATCTCACTTTTAGTTAAAAAATAAAAATGAGGGGGCTGGCTCAGCGGTTAAGAGCATTGCCTGCCCTTACAAAGGTCCTGAGTTCAATTCCCAGCAACCACATGGTGGCTCACAATCACCTGTAATGAGGTCTGGTGCCCTCTTCTGGCCTGCAGAATATTGTATACATAATAAATAAATATTTTAAAAAGATAAAAATGAAAATTACACTGAAATTCCATCCTTAACCTGATTTTAAAAATTGAAGACAAAGAAAAGTTTAAATTTCCAGAACAAACAAAGGATAGCACTGTAATGACTCCTAAGATTTCCATCTTAAACCTAAAAGTTCATGCATTGAAGATAAGAGAAGTGGAGAGGGGATGACCAACCAAGGAAGCACTCTAGGTATCTAAATAAGAGCCCAAGTGAAGACATTCTAAGTAAGACATTCCAAGGTAGGATCATAAAACTCCAGCAATGACTGATTTTCAAGTTAATGGTTTGTTCTTCTCACTTGGGATTTCTAAGTCAATAACTATTGTCATCTATTTGAAAAATGTTTTCAACACATCAAACTTGAAAAACATCAAACTTGATAAATCAATTATTAAATTCTGCACTGTAGACTCCATTTATTTGTTTGTTTATTTATTTATTCATTGTTTTTCGAGGCAGGGTTTCTCTGTAGCTTTGGAGCCTGTCCTGGAACTAGCTCTTATAGACCAGGCTGGCCTCAAACTCACAGAGATCCGCCTGTCTTTGCCTCCCAACTGCTGGGATTAAAGGGGTGCGCCACCACCGCCCAGCCCTATTTTTTTTAACATTCAAATGAGGAAAGGTAGCCTTCCATGAGGTCAGCAATTAGACAATCACAGCAAAATAGAAAATAAAAATGGGGCCAGCAAGATGGCTCAGTAGGTAAGCCTGACAATGTGAGCTTAATCTACACAGTAGAAGGAGAGAAGTGTCACCTACTGTGGTATGAATGCACCCATAGATTTACACACACATACAATAAGAATAAATAAATATAAGAATAAATAAAAATAAGTAAATAAAATATGTTGACTATGGACTATGTAAAATTCTGATGAATTATTAAGCTCAATACAAGATAGCAGTTGGTATGACAACTATCTTTCCTGATTTACCAATGATTCTGTAACAGGCCTTTTCAAATCATAGCATTCATTAATTCATTATAACAATAACTTTACAATCAGATGATGAATTTTTTCAAATGAGTTTATGCTTACAATTTTGTTTCCTAACTTAGAAATGCCTACATGCCTGTTGTGTGTCTGTTTAAGTGGCTCTGTCTACTGTGAAGAAGTTGACATTGATGCTGTGCCACCACTGCCAAAGGAATCAGCTTATCTTTATGCACGATTCAACAAAATTAAAAAGCTGACCGCCAAAGATTTTGCAGATATGCGTAAGTTTAAAATATAAAAGCACAAATTTCTGTTTTTCACTTGCTATATTAAGTCAGCACTATTGAAGCATTCATGTATACTACATACACTTCATAAAAATCAATCTTTTTCTTACTAAAAGAATCTTTTTATACAGACTTCTGTGATCATTCTTTTCTATTTATTTATTTATTTATTTATTTATTTATTTATTTATTTATTTATTTAGCAATATTCTGTCTGTGTGTATTGTGTATACCTGCAGACCAGAAGAGGGCACCAGACCTCATTACAGCTGGTTGTGAGCCACCATGTGGTTGCTAGGAATTGAACTCAGGACCTTTGGAAGAGCAGGCAATGCTCTTAACCTCTGAGCCATCTCTCCCGCCCATGTGATCATTCTTTACTGTTGATTTTGCTATTCCATCTAACATAGGTATCATCTTAAGACCAATACTTCAAAATACACACTATCTCGGGCGGTACATAGTACCAGCATGACCAGGACGCTTCTCCAATTAACTAGACACTTTTCCACTTTTACCATAAATACACAAGCTGCTTTTATTTTCCTTTTCTATTGTTTATTTATGTATTTATTATTTATTTTTATTGTTTTGTTCTACTTGGGATCTCATTTCCCATGTGCTAGGATTACATGGGAAAAGTTCCTTTTCTTCAACTTATAACTCTTTCTTCTTTTTTTTCTTCCCTCCCTCCCTCCCTTCCTTCCTTTCCTTCCTTTCCTTCCTTTCCTTCCTTTCCTTCCTTTCCTTCCTTTCCTTCCTTCCTTCCTTCCTTCCTTCCTTCCTTCCTTCCTTCCTTCCTTCCTTCCTTCCTTCCTTCCTTTTTTTTCTTTTTCCCTAGACAGGGTTTCTGGATCTTGTTCTGGAACTCACTTTGTAGACCAGACTGGCCTTGAATTCAAAGATCTGTCTGCCTCTGTCTCTCAAGTGCTGGGATTAAAGGCATGCACCAACCACTACTGCCTGACCTAATTTATAACTTTTAAACCTTGTTACATATTTAAAAATGTCTGGAAAGGAAGCTGGAGAAATGGCTCAGTGTTTAAGAGCATTTGCTGCTCTCTCTGTTTGACCCTCAGAACCCTATATCAGGCAGTTTACAACTACCTGCAACTCCTGCTCCAGGGTATTTGATACCATTGCCTGGACACTTCATAGGCACCTGCACTCACACATGACTTACCCCCACACAGAAAACACGTGTACATAATAATTAACAATCTTTTTTAAAAAAATCTGGAGAACAACTTTTTAAAATACTAATACCCCATGAAATGCAACCACATTCCTTGGATGATTCAACAGAAACGGTTCTGAAACAGTCATGTTTAACTTTTTCTCGGATCATTAGTAATCAGCTTTTTGGCTAATAAAATTTAACTGGACTAAGGTATTGTGGTCAGCATACTATTAATACCTCAGGTTCACTCTCCAGCACCTCATGAAAGCACAGCTGAAATTACACAGTATCAGGCTATAGGTTAGAGTACCAACACTGCAAGATGAACTTGACTCAGTTACTAAATGCAAATACTATCCTGGGCCTTGAACAGAAACTTTCCTCCAGTCTACATAATGAGATTCTAACATCTTATTTTTTATTTATTTCTGTCAAGCTAACTTAAGAAGACTTGATTTTACGGGAAATTTGATAGAAGACATAGAAGATAGTACTTTTTCAAAACTTTCTTTGTTGGAAGAACTTACACTTGCTGAAAACCAGCTAGTAAGACTTCCAGTTCTTCCTCTGAAGCTTACTTTATTTAATGCTAAGTACAACAAAATCAAGAGTAAAGGGATTAAAGCAAACACATTCAAAGTAAGTATTCCATGGAATGACAAAACACAATGTGAGTGATGATATTTTAAGTTTTTATTACATTTATTTATTGCGGGTATTTATTCATTTTGTGTGTGTGCACATACCAGGTATACATGTAGAGGCCAAGGATAACTTTTGGAAGCTGTTTTTTCCTTCCACTTGTGGGTCCTGGTCATCACGTGGAATGCAGGTCATCAAGCTTAGCAGCAAGAATGCTGACAGAGGAGGCATCTCACTGCCACAGTGATAATATTTTTTAACTGGTGCTTGTTTTCCCCCCATTCTGCTCCTCTACTACTTTTGAGGTATATTTCTATTCAACAAGATAAGAAGTGAAGAGAGCTATAGCTGGCATTTACCCAGATAAATATTTCAGAACTTGGAACAAAAAGACAAACATTCCACAAAAGAACATTGGGTTAATGTGTGTTTGTGTTGCAGAGGGACTGGCAGCATAATTCGTGGTAGAAAGAATGCTTAGCATGCTTGAGGACCTAAGTTCACCCCAGCACCAAACATGATCAAATAAGCAAAACATGTATGCCATACATATATCATACAAAGACACAGAAATGGGTGTCTTCTGTCAATACAAAGGAACATTTTTTTATTTAAAAGTAAACACTATTATCTCATTGTTTCAAAAAATTGTATTCTTCCTATTAACCAGGAATAACTGGTATCTTTTATATTTAACTTTGGTAGGTAATATAGCAGTGTTCCTCAAAGAATAAATCAATAATTCCAAAAGAATGGAAATGCTCATGAAAATTGAAAAAAGTTATCACCCCAGTCCAGAACTTCCATAACTATGATATAATCACTCTCAGCCCTAGGCAGGGCAGAGAAGGTAACCTCAGGCAAAAACACGATATGCTCAAGCTACTGCTGGCAGAAGACAACTTTGTTCAAAAGGCAAGATGTGAGGTATGGTGGAGCATGATGGAGGAAGGAAGATCTATGCCTTTAAGGCTAGCATGGTCTACACAGCAAGATCCCATCAGCCAGGCTATCTAGTGAGACATTGTCTCAAAAATAAAAACAACAACAACAAGCACAGCAACAAAAGAGACACGATCTCACTCACATGAAATTGCAACCACCCAGGAGCCTCAGGCAGGAGGATCTAAAGTTGAAGACCAGTTTAGGCAATATCACAAGAGAATTCCTAATAGAAAAACCTAAACTACTAATGAAAATTTCACTTACGCTAGTTTACGTAATTATACAAGTTTGACATTTATCCACAACTGCCTGTTTAAAAAATATTTCCTAGCTAGTCGGTGGTGGCACAGGCCTTTAATCCCAGCACTCGGGAAACAGAGGCAGGCTGGTCTCTGTGAGTTTGAGGACATCATGGTCTACAGAGCGAGTCCAGTTCAGCCTGTTTCACAGAGAAACCCTGTCTTAAAAAACAAAACAAAAAATATTTCCTTTTTCCTTATATTTACGGTAACCATTCAACATTATAGGGTTTGTTAGTTTTGTTTCTGTTTTTGTCCTTATGGTATTTTTCATTAAAAATTTATAACTGATAGTTACATAAAACTGTATAATACGTATGATTAAGGCATTTTCAGAACATGACAAGATGATCTAAAGAAGCAAACCATTAACAAGGGCAGGGAAGTGTCTTTTGCACATTCATCTATACCCTTTGTGGTATAAGATAATACTGCTCAACCAGAAAATCTCGAAAATAAGGCTGAATCAATGTAATCTTTGGGGGTCAGGCCAGGTAGTAGCATTTTTGGTATTCTGAAGGCTTCACACTTTTCTGTTGATTAGAACTGGATTCAGGAACAATGTTTGTAAATGTAAATACAAAGATATTTGGAGAAAAAGCTGATTTTTATACTATTAAAAATATCCAAAAGATTGATTTGCTGTTGATATTATAAGCAATGTTGGTGGTTTTGTTTTTTAAATAAGGGATTCAGAAACTAAGGATTCTTTACTGACTTTACAAAGCAGACTTAAGATGGACATAGTGGTACACATACCTGTAGTTCCAACACATGAGAGGCTAACAGTAGGAGGACTTTCAATTTAAGGCCAATCTGGTCTACACTGTAAGGCCATGTCTCAAAATACAAACAACATAAAACCAGAGCAGACACACTTTCTAAAAACAAAATATAAATATACCTCGTGCGCTAGGTAAATGCTTCAGCATGTAAAGGCACTAGCCTGCAAAGCCTGAAACCCAAGTTCCACATCACACATCTCCAATCTTTTAACTCTTAAAGTGAGTTGGGAAGAAGAGATAAGAAAATTAATAGACATTCATGGGCCACCTAGCCTGTGGTGCAGCATCGACTCCCAAGAGTTATCTTCTGACCTCTGCAAGCAGATGCACATGTGCACAAAAACACATGCGTCATTTTTAAATTTAATTTTGCAATTTAAAGAAATGAATTTAAGTAGGGGAGACTTTGAGTAACAAGCAGTGACAGAATGTTTAGAGCACGATATAGAGCAATTCCTTGTGGTCCAAGCTACTTGGAAAGGTAAGGCAAGAAGATTGCTTCACTAATAGGTGAAGGCCAGCCTGGGAAAGGTAGGACAACCATGCCCATCTCAGAAAAAGAAAGAAGGATGGAAGGAAGGAGTAAACAAAGGTAGATTTAAATATTCTGGATTTTAAAAAAGAATATTGTGCAAATTGGCATGAAAAATGATAAATTTGTCTACTTTATTTAATACCTTAGGGTTGCAATAACCCTAAGTACAGTATCAAGTTACTATAATTCAAATAAAAGCAGTCCCGGGAAGACAGTTGATGTCCATATGATGTAAAGGGAGAATGTTTATGAAAGAATTAAGGGGTGGGGAGATGGCTCAGTAGGTAAAGTGCTTGCTGTCAAATTTCACAATCTGAGTTCAATCCCTAGGTCAAACAGGAAGCAGAAAATCAAATGCTGTGCGTTGTCCTCTAACTTTGAATATGTGCACTATGGTTTATGTACACAAGCACATATATGCATAAAATTTTGAAGATTAAAAAAAGATAAAAGAGCCAGGCGATGGTGGCGCACGCCTTTAATCCCAGCACTCGTGAGGCAGAGGCAGGTGGATCTCTGTGAGTTCGAGACCAGCCTGGTCTACAGAGCTAGTTCCAGGATAGGCTCCAAAGCCACAGAGAAACCCTGTCTCGAAAAACCAAAAAAAAAAAAAAAAAAAAAAGATAAATGATTGAAATAATAGCATAGGAAAGAAGAAGCAGGCAGGGCATAGTAGGTGTAATCCTAATATCTGAAAAGCTGAAGAGGGAGGATGGTAAGCTTCAGGGTAGTTTAAGATACATGGTAACCCCCCCATCATAAAATATGACATGGTAGCACAGGATGCATATAAAAATTAGGAGTAACGTCACAGAAAAATTACATTCTGAAATCATAGCATGCAATCATACATAGTAATGAGTTACTGATTATAAATAATATTCCAACATAAACCCCTCACGGGAAAACATATGTCATGTTAAATTGCATGTTTGGCAAAATGCTTTGGGAAACGGCATCTTGTTAAGTACCATCTCTTAGGAGTAGCCATTTTCCTAGGAATATGTAAAACTTCTATGGAAAGTTCAGGAGTTGCAAAAAAACACTTGAAGGATTCAACTATCAGTCAACACACAGCTGCCCTCTAGACAAATATTAAGGGCTGAGTATTCCAGGATGAGATAAATATCAGAAAAATGTGGAATATTCAATAGATATCATAATGTCTTAAAAACCAAAAACCCTACTCATAAGGCAAAAACCCAATAACAATCAAAGCAACAAAGTACTACTCTGAAGCTGATACTATCAAAATATGCTACATCAATACTGTTTTTAAAGTATATATTATTTGAATAATTTGAAGAATGCATATCAGTGACATTGAACTTTTTTTCTTTTTAATAGAAACTGAATAAGCTCTCTTTCCTCTATTTGGACCATAATGATCTGGAATCTGTGCCTCCTAATTTACCAGAAAGTCTACGTGTAATTCACCTTCAGGTACAACTGTTCTTTGTACAATAACTAGCTTTATTTAACTATGGGGCCATGTTTATTACTTGAAAAACTTATTTATATGTCAGTTATGGTTATAACACCAAAACCGTGTGACCACTTAATGTCTATATAAGAATTTCAAGTCCAGGGCTGGAGAGATGGCTGGCTCAGCAACAATATGGTGGGTCACAATCATCCTAAATGAGAACTGGTGCCCTCTTCTGGCCTGCAGGCATACATACAGGCATACTGTATACATTATAAACAAATAACTCTCATTAAAAAAAAAAAAAAAAGAACTGCAGGTCCAATCCAGAGTACACTAAGTAGATCGATCAGTCTAAGAAGTATAAAGTCTGTTTAAGCAGAATACACCTTTCAGCACCTCCCAGTCTAAGTAAAGTTGAGGACTGACTACAAGGCCTTACCTAAAGCAGACAAGCATTCTATCACCAAGCATTCACATTTTTAATTTTTATTTATGGCAATATTCTGCTCCTTATTCCTCAGGCTGCCTGACTGGGGTGAGAAGGGGTGAGCATTAGGCATTCACTGTCTATATAACTGAAACTCTTGGATCTGAGGTACATGTTAGAGGCAAAACCATTGAGCATGACCGGTCACATAAGATGGGGATGCCTATGTGGTGTTTTGTGGGTTTGTTTGCTTTGACATCCTCAGAAGAGGGGATTCCCTTGATGGTGACCACAGTGAGGACAATGAAGAAAACAACAGGCACACTAAATAACCAAGCAGAACTGAAACATACAAAGGAATCACAATCACAGTAGTAGGAATTGTGTTGTCTAACAGGCCAAATTCAAGAGGTATCTTTGCTGACACACCTGTGACACATAATGTGCAGTGTTTTCTAAATACTAACCAATTCACCACCACCAGCTGAGTATTCTAAAATTCAATTCTGATACCTCTGAGTCTATGGAGACCCCGTAAGTCCACGATTCAGTCTGATAACACTGTTCCCTTTGCAGGTACAGTATGAAGCTTGTGTTGTTTTGTCTTATCCCTATATTGCAGTTTTCTAGAGTGGTCACTATGAGTTACCTAATTATTATAATTCCAAGTCCTGAAAGACACTTCTATCATCCAAGAAATTCTAAGTTCAATTTCTTTATGCCAAAATCTTCTGGGACCCAGGATTACTCTCGAGCTTTCTGTAGTGTGGTGGAGGCAGAAGGAAGGGACAGAAGCACAGAATAATGGAGGCGAAACAACCTGGGCAATCGGCTACCAACTGACACAGGTGTTATGTATCTCCTAGTTACTCTGAACACAGATTTGAAGACCAATGATTTACGTTTCTTTCTCCAAAATAGTAGCGAACTCCAATTTCTAATTTATGTTTCTTTTTCCAATTAGTGGCAGACATGTGCTTTTGGAGGCATTTTATCTCATTTTACAGGACAGCATCAAGTGGGCATTGCAAAAGTGAAAAAATGAAAAGGAGCAGAGGTTGATATCTCAGCATCACAAGAATCTCAACTTCTTTTCACCTCTTTAAGGAATATTCAAACACACTGTATCACTTTGAGTTAACACACTGGAATAGGACAGTTTCTTTAGCTTGCATGTTTCTATTTATATTCCAAACAGGATTGGACAGAAGCAATTTGGAAAAATAATGAGTAGACTGTTAATCCAAAGCAATACGGTACACTTAAAAATATGTTTAGGTTGCAAAAGAGAGTGTCATTACAGTGGACTAATATTTTTAAATATTATCTCTAAAAGAAGATTCCATTTTAGGCAAAATATCCTGTGTAATCCTACTGTATAATATACAAAAGGTTGATTTTAGATTTCTGAGTATTTTTTCTTTTATTTTTCAGTTTAACAGCATATCTTCAATTACAGATGATACATTCTGCAAGGCTAATGACACTCGTTACATCCGGGACCGAATTGAAGAGATTCGCCTGGAGGGCAATCCAATTGCTCTGGGAAAGCATCCAAACAGTTTCATTTGCTTAAAAAGATTACCTATAGGATCATACTTTTAAAAACCATCAATGCAATGTATATCTAAAGTAGTGCACCTAATGTCTTAAAGGAACATAAACATTAGCTTACTATTCTCATTTTATCTCACTATTGTAGAATTTTATGTTTAATCAATGATGTCCAAAGTTCTTACATGTTTTTTCTTACATGTTACTATAAAAATAATCCAGACTGAATCTCTTAGTTCAAAACAAAATGAACTAAACTAAACAACATTAAAAACCCCTTGTAGTTTACACTACATCTAAACAGTGTCCTTTTATATAAACACTCACATGAGATCCACCATTCCCAAGACTAATGAAGTAAGAGAATGCCAAGAAACGGTGAACTGTTTGTCTTTCTTAACATTTACTGTATTTCAAAAGCATTTAAGGCGACGTTCCAAGAAACTGTGAAAAGCCAAATGTTCCAAGTGACCGTCCACTGACTTTATGATTCATCAGCATTCTCCATGAAGCAGAAACCTTTTCTGTTACGGCAGCTATTTTATTGTATTTCTCATTTAGTCTAAGAAAAAGGGTAGCCACATCTAGGTAAAACTTTCCAGTAAAGTAAAATTTTACTCTTTGGTATAGAACCAATTTAGAAAAGTTCAGTTTTATGCTTTGTGGTCACACAGATAGTCTTTAATCAATTACTTAAAAAAATTCTAAGAAAAAGAATAAAAATTCTACTGATTTTCTCGGAGAGTAATAAGAGCCCTTCACTCTAAAGATTCTCAAACATGAAATGAGTGTAAACTTTTCACAGTATAGGAAGGATTTCATCAATAAATTTGTTCAAATATAAGAAATTTAAATGAAGTCTACTGTGTTGTGCTGTACGTAGAGCTTCAGCTATACATATGTTCACTCAAACTGCACACTCACAATCCACCCATGAGCACCACTTCTCAATGGCCATGATCTCCAGACACATGGAACAGAGAAACCCAACCTTCTGTCTAACAGTGATGACTGAACAATGCAGATTAAAGTTCCTACATTAACCCTCAGAGGAAGGTGCATATAGCACACTCACAAATATTAGTCTATATATTACTTTGGAGTTGAACATAAAATTAACAATGTTTTAGAAATAACTATCTTTTATATACAAAAGTACCACTATTATTTCCATTATTGGGTACACATTAGAATCTGCATGCTTTTCCTAGAATACTCAAGCATTTGGTGTTTTGCCCCAATGCAGACTGACCCCTTTCTCTCTCATGTTACAGCTGACCCCAGAAAAAACTTTTCATTAAAGCACTTGTGACCTATAAGGCCATACTGATTACTCTAATAATGTTTAGATATACACATGCATACAAACACAGTTTGGTATTTTAGGGGTATGTATTGTTCTGGGGTCTGAACACAGTGCCTTATACATTTTGGACAACACTATTGAACTCTATTCCCAGCCTTCTATATTATTTTTGTAATAGAATTTAATGAGAAAATACCATAAGATAATTATAATTTTTTTCAAAGTTAAAACCAATGGTTTTGATGAAATTTTCGGGAGAAAGAATATTGCTAAAAATTATAAATTACGGAATTTACTTAAATAACTTGGATTTTGAGTGAGACCACTTGAACATAGGTAGCTTATATCTTTGTTACACACCTTTGTACGGAAAAATAAAATAAAATCCAGAATGGACCGAGGAAAACAACACAAGTAAATTATTCTTGATTCTACTCTATAATACAGATATTTCATTCTTGACAATTATAACTAAAGAAATAGTCTTAAAATTAAAAAAAAATCATAACAGGATTAGTGCTCTGGAATAACTTTTTTGTACACTGTGAAGATTTGTCACTTGAATTGGTTTAATAAAAAGCTGATTGGCCAGTAGCCAAGCAGGAATGGGCAGCACAACCAAACTAGGAGAATGACGGGAAGAAAGGGCAGAGTCAGGAGTTACTAAGAGACATAGGGGGAACAAGACATGCTGGAGGACAGGCAAAGCCACAACTCATGTGGAAATAAATAGGTTAATAGAAATGTATTAATTTAAGTTGTAAGAGCTAGTTAGTCATAAGCCTGAGCTCTCGGCCAAGTATTTATAATTAATATAAACTTCAGTGTGTTTGAGAGCAGCTGTGGGACAGGAAAACCCACCTACAGATTGGTGATGTGGTTCAGAGGTTAAGAGAACCTACTGCTCTTGCATAGGACTCAAATTTACTTCCAGCACTGACAACTCCAGTGTCAGGGACACCAATACCAACCTCCTACTGGACTCAACTGGCAATGCACACATGTGGCATACATACAAATGTGCAGCCAAAAATACACATACACACTGGGCGGTGGTGGCACACGCCTTTAATCCCAGCACTGGGGAGGCAGAGGCAGGCAGATCTCTGTGAGTTCGAGACCAGCCTGGTCCACAAGAGCTAGTTCCAGGACAGGCTCCAAAGCTACAGAGAAAGCCTGTCTTGAAAAAAAACAAAAACAAACAAACACATTCACATAAGATGAAAATGAGATATTTTAAAAATTATTTACACCTTACAAATATATAAAAAATACATAAAAGCAAAAGACATTTGTGGTAGTTTAAATAAAAATAATTCCCATTGACATATATTAGAATGCTTAGTGAAAGAAAGTAAACTGTTTTTTGTTTTGTTTTGTTTTGTTTTTGTTTTTGGTGACAGGGTTTCTTTGTGACTTTGGAGCCTGTCCTGGAACTAGCTGTGTAGACCAGGCTGGTCTCGAATTCACAGAGATCTGCCTGCCTCTGCCTCCCGAGTGCTGGAATTAAAGGCATGCGCCACCATTGCCCAGCTGAAACTGTTTTAAGAAGAATTAGGAGGTATGGTCTTGTTGGAGGAGTGTTGTCACTGGGGGTGACCTTTGAGGTTTCAAAAGCCCATGCCAGGCTAATTGTCTCTCTCAAGGCCTGTACCAAATGTGAGCTCACAACTACTCCAGCACCATGACTGCTTGCCTGTTACCATTCTCTCTACCATGATAATGGACTTGCCCTCTGAAATGTAAGCAAGCCCCTAATTGAATGTTTCCTTCTATAAACTGGTTGTGGTGTCTCTTCACAGCAATAGAACACTAAGAAAACATACATAGGGGGCTGGAGAGATGGCTCAGTGGTTAATAGCACTGCCTGCTCTTCCAGAGGTCCTGAGTTCAATTCCCAGCAACCACATGGTGGCTCACAACCATCTGTAATGAGATCTGGCGCCCTCTTCTGGCGTGCGGGCATACATGGAGGCAGAATGTTGTATACATAATAAATAAATAATAAATCTAAAAAAAATACATAAAATAGACACCTATGTTCGTGGATCTGGAAATGTTATATTATTAAGACAATAAAACGATCTCGAGATTCAGTGAAATCCCTATGAAAGTATCAATGATGTTTTTTACAGAAGCATAAAAGTAATCTACTCTAAAATTTATATGAATTATTTAAAACCCCATATAAACAAACAAAAAAATCTTGAAAAAGAAGCAAGAGAGTAGACTCATCTACTAACTTAAAGACTTATTATAAAGACACAATAACTCAAAGAGTATGTGTGCATGATATAAGAAATTAGAGAGCCCAGAAATAAATACATGAAAATATAACAAAATCATGAGAATTACTTGAAGGACTGCAGTATGGGAACTGCCCATGTTTCATTCTGGAGAAAGCCTTACACCTGACAAATTTTATTAAGTCAACCAAAGAGAATGCATTTAATAATGAGAAAACAACTGAACCCAAATACAGGTAAATTAGTACTGATCTTTAAAATAACAGCCATAGGTTAGGCTTTTGAAGGACTAGAACCTTGAAATATTATTTACACTGATTCATTCAGGTTTTTGTGTGGCTGACAGCTGTTAATAACAATGCTATGGAAGTAAGTAGGACCTAAGGGATTATAAGACAACCAACTTTTGATTATGTCCCTAAACAATTTTTTGAAAAGCAATCTTTAAGTATGTCCATCAGACTTAAAACCATTACTTATGTACTAGAGATAAATCTTGATCCCACTGCCAGTGGCCCCACAAACTGCCCAAGCCATATAACTATCACCCACATTCAGAGGGCCGAGTTTGGCCTTATGCAAGTTGGAGCCGGAAACCTTGTTCAGCCTTGATACACTGGGGAGGGCTTTGGCTCTGCCTCATCATGATGTGACAGACTTTGTTGACTCCCCATGGGAGGCCTTACCCTCTCTGAGGAGTGGATGGGGGTTGGGGTGGGGAAAAGGTGGGGGCAGTGAGAGGAGAGGAGGGAGGGGGAACTGGCTTGGTATGTAAAATAGAAAAGATTGTTTTTTTTTTTAAATTAAACAAGAAATAAAGAGCTGTGTAAAATCAAAACGAACAAGCAAACAATTACTTCATAAAAATCAAGCGTCAATATTTATACTCAAGATGTGCAATAATACAGCAGCTTAAAGTAGTCTGACATAGAAATTACAATTATATTGCTTTGTGACAATATATAATAGGTTGTTTGAGGAGAGTGTACATAGACTTGCTGGCCCGGAACTCACTATGTAGACCAAGCTGGCCTCAAACTCATTCTGACCTCCCTGTTCCTGCCTTATGAGTGTGGGGCTCAAATGCATGCACCGCCACAGCAGGCACTATATATTCTTTATTAGCATTTCTTTTTGTTTTTTATGTACTCCTGAAAAGCTGAATTTTCAAAAATAAAATTCTCAATATATTAACCATAGTGAATAGTCAAAATAATAAAATTTCATAATATCAATTATCCATTGATTTAGATAGAAACTTCTCACTCATTTATTACAAATAACTGCTAATTTATTAAACCAGTGACAATATTCTCCATTCTTTGAAATTTAAAGCACGTATGTAGTGCATACTATTAATCCCAGCACTAGAGAGGCAGAGCCAGGCAGATGTCTGTGAGTTTGAAGCCAGCCTGGTCTATATAGTTCCATAATATCCAGACCCTGGATATTATAGTCTACATAGTCAGACCCTGTCTCAAAAAAGAACAAAAAAAGAAAGCAAACTATGAGTATATCAACAAAATTAACACCAGCTTCATTTTCTACATATATTTAAATTTAAAATCTTCAGACTTTACCTTAAAATGCTTAAATGTGTTCTTACGATATTCATACCACTCCACAAAAAAATGTAGACTTCGGAAAAACATGAGCAAATCTCTTTTTTCTTCTGCTCTGTAAGAGAAAGATGCTATGATTAATAACTAGAATGAAATGATAGGCTCACTTAAACTTATTATTTTTTATTAACGTGTTACACTAACACTAAAAATACCCTTGATGCCCTTCTATATGTTGATCCCTACACTTGTGTAAGTGTGTGTTCTGTGACAGCTAATGCTAACTGCCACCAACTACTATATTAGCCTGGAACGTCCTCAACTGTTTGAATCTATCCAACTATCTAAGCACCTGACCTCTGACAACTGACAATTTTCTTCCAACCACTCAAAGGCCACATTCTCCAGGAAATCTTATTTGATGAATGCAAAATAATGTGCTTTCTGGAACAAAGTTTCTATCCCATACAAGTTTCTGAATGAGAACCCTAGGCACAGAAGGCTGGGGCTGAATAGCAGAAAGGCCAACCACACATTAGAGGGTGGGAGCTCTGGGCTAGCAAGACTCCATGTGTGGCATACTGTAGGCATTTATATTCCCATAGTTCTTGGTAGTATTCCCATTATCAATTATCATGTTTATGATTTTAGTCATTTACTTCTTTGTAAGCTTTATTCATGATTCCTAAAAACAGTGGAACATCAGCATCAACTACCTTATCCCTGAAACACACCTCTCTGCTA